AGTTAGCTTTCTCCAGAAAAATTAAAAGTAAATTAAGATTTGGGAAACTGCCATGGCAGTCAACAGAATAATTTTTCACCCTTTAAATTACTGCTCAAGGCTGGGAGACTTAAGGTTTCATTTGCTGACATTGAGCGTCAGAGGAAATACGCTTGGACTTCTGTGATCTTGACACTATCCTCCTATATATATAGACATCTATTCAAAGGAAAACCATATTGAAGGCAATTTATGATTCCCTCCTGGATGACTGAGCGCTCAGGAGTTGCAACTCGTTCGAGTTTTTTTGAGTGATAATTTAAGTGGTTGGATCCAGTGATGCCAGGCGTACGGATTTATCCGTGCCGCGCGGACATTCCCTATACCGACACTGACCGCGTACGGACAAAAACCTTATGGGAAAAACGCTTCCCTATCTTAAAATATCCGTACGCGTGATGTCACAGAATGATGCTCAGCCAATAGTAGCACGGAGAGCGGTAGAGCGTACGGATCTCGTACACGGAGCACCCGGGAACACTGGTTGGATCTCAATACTTCAGGGGTGCCTCAAGTATGGGAGAGGTTACAGACAAAAGGAGAGAGACGTCACACGATAAGGGATTAAATTAAGTTTTGTTTCTCCCTTTTTCACTTGAGCTGCCCAGACACGATCAATGTCTTTAAGACACAAATCAAGGATAAAAAACGAGGATGATTATTAAGCTGAAGTCAGCGACGGGAAGAGACTGGTAATTGCTAGTCTCTAGTAATTGCATTGACCCACAGCAAAAGAGACCCTGAGTTCTCATGATCCTCATATCAATAGGTAGGTACATTTAAACATTATTCGGGTGTACTTACGTGCGAGGTATTAATAAAACAAGTCGTCTATCCCTTCGTAATTACCAAGATCACTTCAATGTTATGCATCATACCACTGATTCAGGATTCAGTGATAACACTGTGATAACATTACATTACATTACATTGCAACAAAACAAAAGACCTAACCTTAAAATAGCGATAACACCATCTGAGGATCTACCTCGGACCAAAGACATCTCGGACACGCATTGAAACATCAAATAACGAGATACGAGACTTCGTCGTCAGTGGTCAGTGGTAGTGATCTGCAGATGGTATTATTGCTATTGATATGATAAGACGATAAGGGATAGACGAAAGGGATTAGACGATAAGAAGTCAGGGGTTTGTCTTGTTTTATGAATTCTAATTTATAGTGTTTGGAAATATATTTAACCAAGTATATGTATTTAAAGATTTTACCCTTTTCGGAAAGTACGGTTTATCGTTTAAAAGTGTAATGTAGGAATGTGTCTAGAAAATAAAACTTTTCGAAGCAGTGTCCTGGGCTTCTTGAAGGTAGAGAAATCATGGTGTTAGTTTCTTTTGGGAAAACAATATTGAACCGAGTTAGGTGGAAACTTGTTCACAATCACTTTAAACTAGCCAAAGTCGCCTCAAGCTTAGGTGTTCAAGTTCGACCATCGCTCTCTTTACAGTCGGGTAAATTCAATGCAAGTGAAAAGGAACACCACCCCGAATCAGGGCACGAAAATTCGAAACTATGGTTTCTCCTGCTTGGCGTAGTAGTCTGGACACATGCACTCACCAAGACTGACAGGTAAAAGCAACCGAAATCAACAACTGTTCATTATTTTGAGAACACACGACCATATTACAGTTTTCAGTTGTCAGCGTTTACTTTGCTTCTCCTAGTTGCAAATAGATTTACTTTGCACTGTTATCTTGTCACTTGAACTTGAGAGTCTCTTGCCATTTTCCTAAATAAAGTAAAGTGCAGTTTTAGATATTCGCGACTGAAAATTAGAGCCCAGCCGCCTCAGCCGTGTGCCATAGCTTGTTACGCTTGTATTTCAACAGATGAGATACAAGGAAAAGACTGGACCTCACTAAAAACGCAGTAGGTAAAAACAGGAAGGAAAGGTGTAACGGAAATCCGAACCTTTTCGAGTTTTTCCGTGTTGAAAAAGGAAGGATGGAAATTAAAATAAAATCGTGTGCTCAGAAGAATATCTTTGATCAAAATTGAGTTGTGCGTGTTTTTTGGTAGTCGAAGGTAAAGTCTATCAGAATACCAAGTGTTTTTATCTGGAAGTCATTTGACGCGGAGAATTCAAGGAATTAAGTTTTAAGGATGGGTATTTACTTTAATCCTTAAATAACACATCATCTAGAAGTGACACGACAAGTTTCTAGAAGATTATGACCAAAAGAGCAAAAAGTACGCCATTATTTGCCTAATGAAGTGCATTTGCTAAAGTGAAATTTGATAGTCGTTGGATCTTATGCAAAAAACTAATTCTATGCTAATCTAACAAGTTAAAGCACCCTAAAGAGGATGAGTGTACTTTTAAATTCATCAATTGACCATTTTTTTTTTATAGTGGGCTGTACGCTTTCTATTATTTTTCATTTATTTTTTTTTTTGTAATACAATTCGGAACTCAAATCCTGGAGCAAATAAGCGGTCCTGCCATAATTTTGTAATACTGCTATCAAAGAACTTTCAACACGATTACAGCACAGCTAATCTTTTTGGCCCACATTGAAAAGGTGGACTGACATCCCGTCCATTCTTAACTGCAGCCTCCCAAGAAGAGCAACACCAGTAATTAACTATTCCTTCTTGTTCTAAGTTCTTTTTTTTTCTTTTTTCAGTTTTAAACCATTATCATTAGTTTTCGCAGACGCGGTCATTAAGGAAAATTCTGATCCCGATCTTCCTGTTGACCCTCTCGATGATGAGGAAGAATTGCATGAGAAGAAAAAGAAGAAAAAAGAAAAAGTTGGTTTTCGAGACCGCAAGGTGAGAATCTATACTTGGACATATTGCTTAGGGTGTGTCGAAGTTCTAAAACGTTTGAAAACTCTCATTTAGTTTGGTTTTTCTTGTAATGCCTGGCATCAGAATTGCCTCCAAAAATTTTGAGCTTCGTTGGACTGTATTGGAACCTACCCAGCAGGCCAATTATTGAAAGTTTAAAACACCCGATAAGTCATCGAATTGTGATATATTGCATGGTTAAGATGGGGCTATGTCTTGTCGTATCAAACGGATATAGTTTCAATAACCGGGCCGCAGTTTAGCCTGGAACATTGAAGAGAACGTTCTAGTAAAAAAATTGTATTCCTTAAGAATGTTTCTAATTCTGTTTGAAAAAACGAATGAACCATGACTCGGAGTTGATGAAAAATTTTTTAGGTAATTTGTCTTTCCAACGCATTTATGTACATTAAATACACCCACAAACCTTGATTGAAGTGTGAACACTCTGTATACATCCTAACAGAAATCATACTTAATTCTCAAAAACGCTTTTTTGCAATGTCAAAATAGAATAAGATACTGCTATAGTCATTTCTTCAAAAAGGTGATTTTATGCTTCTCTCATAAATCTTGTGTACTTTAAAACAGCTCTTTTTTTTCCCTTTGTTTTTGATGACAGAACAATGGTCATTCACTGTACTCAATGATGGACTGTGGATGGTCTAGATTTCCATTATTCAAACTGTCCGTGACTAAAAAGATAGATAACAAATTGACAAATAAACAACAATTGACCAAAGTGACAATTGTCAAATAGTATACTAGTTTGATGTACCGAGATTCAGTGTGAACTCAAACTAATTAATCAAGAAAGAGGGGAAAATGGTGAAACATGTTCACTTTACTTTTGTTCTTGGAATTTTTGAACATGGTAGTGACCCTCAGCTTTATATGTGTCGCAGGCAATTTGCAAGTCAGTGGTGAATAAATATGGAAAATCATAAAATTCAAAAATAAAAGAACAAGATTAGAGTGCTAATTATGTTGCCCATAATGTGAATAGACACTTTTCCACCCTTAAAAATATGGCAGAAATATGAACACTCAGGAGAGCGTGCAGTGAACTCCGTGACATTAGTTCGCTCGAGATCGGACAGGCAACTAAACTAACATTGTGACAAAGCAAAGAGTATCACAAAAAATGAAGACACTTCAAGTCAAGCTCATACTTTTGAAGACCATGACCCCTAAAAATTGCATTATACTGATGCGCATTATTGCGATAGGTTGAAACAACATGTGAGACGTGTGCAAATTGCCTGCGATTGCTTATTGCCTGCAACATATGCAAAGATTTTAACTCAAAGGAAATTGAAAACAATGAAGGCATCATTTTCAGGTATTGATTTTAATTTTTCACAGTGAGGAAATTCTCATATTTTCCTGCAAAAGTTTTTCCTTGAATCTCATCATGCATATTCAAGTCTTTCGTACCTTTATTTTTTTTTCAAATTTAGATAATTGAGTATGAGAACCGAATTCGGCACTTCTCAACGCCTGACAAAGTTTTCCGCTACTTTGCAACGCTTCAAGTAACACATGTTCACTCCAACGGATCAGAGTCGCACGAAGTATTCATGACCCCTGATGATTTTCTCCGATCAATGACTCCGGGAATCAAGCAGCCAGAAGGTCATTATCTGTTTACCCCTTTAGTTGAGCTTTTAAACTTTAAGTATCAAAGTATAATTACTTCAATGATCTGACAAGTTAACTCTCAACTTTAGAAAAAAGAATTAGAAGAGCTGATATTCATGATTCTCACCAATCAATTAGAGTCTTTGCCTTTAAGTAATTAGGAAAATTACAGTCAAGTACCCAATATTAAAGAAATTGTATGTGTTTGAAATTTTTACTTTAGATTCTCAGCTTGTTTTGTCGCTACACTTCATGACCTGTGAGGCAGTGGTGCGCAAAATTTGAGACAGTACAAGCAGGGGGCTTTTTTTTAAAATAACTATATTAAAGTTTTTTTATGATTTTTTTATCAGTACCTGAACAGTTAGGTATGTAAAGGTTACTAATATTGGTGGAAGTTCATTTGCAATGAGGAGTTGATTCTACTTTGACAGGATAAGAGATTCTATTCTTTTTTATATAAAATGGAAACAGGCTAAATAGTTAATTATGAAGCTTGGAGGTCAAGGTGCATAAGTGCAGTTTTTTCTATTTCAAAAAATACGTGTCTAAAGTTTCAAAATTACATGGAGCCTAATGGCAGACTGGAAATTTAAACTCACTTTTTGATGCTTTAAAGTTGGATTTTAGTTGTGTATTTTTCACCGAACATACTTTCAAACTAGTTTTAGTTGAGTTCATGAATATCTCAATTTTTTCAAAAACTGAATCTATGCGTCATGTCCTTCAAGCTCCTCAATTCTAATTTTTGCAATGAATAATTTTATGAATTTATTTCAATGGATTTCCTTCTTTATTTCCAGGACTTGGGCTGGACCAATATAAACGCTATGATCCTAAGGTAAGCGCAGTTTCATTTTCTCATTTTTAGCTGATGTATCTTCTAATCTTAAATCTGTAAAAAATAAGACCTCACTTATCAAAAAAAGAGGTGGCTATTTGCCGGTGCATCATCTAATAAATGTCGCATATTTAATGTTTTCACAAGTTTAGTTCAGTGTTGTCCTTCTGTGAGAAGTGTTAAACATTGCATGTTTTTCCATCAAACTGTTTGTTTTTTTGGGGAACGCTAAATTAATTTGAGGACTTGTTGATGCCAAGCTTGAACTTATCTGAAATATGGTAGAAGAGCTAAAATAATTACAATTTTTTAAAAGAAAAAAAAATTGAAATAAGCATTCAAAACTGTTTACCTCGCTTTTATCTCCTGCTCGGATGAAGATTGATGGAACCGATAGCAACACTATTAATAAATTAAGTGTGTAAAATTTTTAACATTTAAGGTATTATTAAGGTGTATCGAGGATAAGTTTTAAGGCATTCAATTATTATTAGACCCTCTCAAACAACAGCAAGTTGCTTTTAGGAATGGAGCAATAAAAAAAGGGTATGACTACAGAGAATCATTTTTCAAGAAACTATAAGCACTTTCTTCTTCTTATTAGGAGTTATTAAGTTTCATTCTCACCTCTGTCTTTTAATCTCTGCCTCTGTTTCTATCTCTCCTACTCTCTCCCCCTTTCCTCCCAATATCTTACTTAATCTCCTCATTTTTCCTTCTCTTCCATCCTTCCCTGTATTTGTCACTATTTCAATTTCAGACACTCTATCTATCTATTTTATCTATATTCTATCTCCTTCTCTTCCATCCTTCCCTGTATATGTCACTGTTTCAATTTCAGACACTCTATCTATCTATCTATTTTATTTTCAGAATCATGACGAGGTAATACAAATCTCTCTGCCAACTATTTTCCCATGGTGATGATTTTCTTTGGTGAATGCGTAGTTGATCCCTCTTCAATTTTAGTTTCTTTCTTTTTGTCTAGTATCACTCTACACTTTTCTCCCTTAAATTTTCTCCCTCCCGAAACGAACTTAATTGGGTCTCCTAATTTTTCATTTTTCTCCGCGAAAAAGAAAATCCACATAGCATTCTACTCAATTTTGGGAGTAATCATTTCCTCATAATGCGTTTCGCCTTGCTCTGGAACATTTTAGCTTTACCATTTTAGATTTTTCCTAGACTATCAACTTCATTTTCTATCATCGCCCTTTGGCTCTATTTTTATTTTCATATTTTTTCAAGTGTCTTTTTTTGATAATTTTACAGTAAATCTGTTCCTATTTATGGAAGTATAGAAGTGAAATATGCTTGATCTGGAGTATTGCTTTTAATTTGAACGACATGTTGAATGTGTGGTGGTTTGTAGTAAAGTCTGGGAGGCATGTCATTTTTCCTAGAGGTGTAAAAATGCATGAGTACATAATTGTTTTTTTTTTTTTTTTTTTTTTTTTTTTTTTTTTTTTTTTTTTTGAATTTAATCATTTTAACAGTACTATAATATTATTGTTGTTAACTATTTGTTTTGTTTTAATGAAAAAATCAAGTGCTCATCCTCAGGGCAGTATTTTGAATGGTGTGTATCATTGTGGATTCCTGTCTTTTGCCATCGAACAGCCGGTTAAAAAAAAATAACTTAAATTAAATTTGATTGATCCTTATGCTGTTTTATAATTTGGTTTGTTTTATAAGTTTTATAATAATTGGTCAAAGTTGAATCAGTTTTTTGCATGAAAAATTGTATTTTTTGTATATCATTATTCATTTTCATTGCTTTTGTTTGCCGATGTATGTGACGTTTAATTTTTGGCTATCATTATTATAACTACGTGAATTTCGTGTGTTTTGAAGCATATGTATCCCCCATTTTGCTCTCTTTGCAGAATATTAAAAGTAATTGTTGCCTTTTCGTTTTTTATGTGACTCTCTCCGGTAACAAATTTAGTGTACGCATCAATCCTCTGCCGTTAATAATAGGTACTTGTCTAATTCTATCACTCATAACTTTTCAAGCAAAACATTTCTGTTATCTAGCGCCAAAATTGTAAACTTTATCTATCTCTAAAGCAAAATTGTTCTGTAATTTCATCAAATAGGTCATCTCCTCCGAAGACTCATGCTTAATATACTTCTGCAAGATTGAAAATATTTTCCCCCGAAACACTTGAAGTTAGTCTAGTTCAGGCAAGTTTGAGCTGATTTTCAAAACCCTCCATCATTTGCGAGGGAAACCCTGAGAGTCTCAGCATTTTGGAACTCTAAAACACTTTAAGAGATTTTTTTCCTAAAAATCTTGCTCTGATTTCAGAACATCCACATGAAGTTGGAATTGGCACTAGATGAAGACAGTATCTTTTACAGATTAGGCAGCTCTGGGCTCATCACTTTCTCCGACTACATCTTTCTTCTAACAGTTTTATCAAGTATGTATGATTTTTCATTTGTTTTCGAGACCGATTCACACAGGTCGGTCATTGTGCATATTTTATGAGATCCTCTGCCACAAAAGTAAGTTGAATTTGCGACGGTGAACATTTCAATTTAGGTAACTAGTCATATTTCTTACATCATTATTCAGAAGCAAAATTAGCAAGTAACGTTCGTTTGATAACGTCATTGTGCCAATAGAGGGCTCCTTCCTTTATCAATATTAAGAACTCTAAACATGGCATTTTAAAACTCTTAGCAGCTTTCCCTCCAAACTATATTTTCTGAACTGCAATCAAAGTTCCAGCAGGGTGTCTACGAGTCCGGAAAGTCCGGAAATAGTATTGATTTTTTAAGAGCGGTCCAGAAGTACTGAAAAAGTGCGGAAATTCCGCAAGAAGGTTTTGGATTTCTTTTCATTTTTGTCGCAATATGAGCGAGAAATTCAAATTTTTGAAATTTTTCGAATTTAGTTAAATGAAGGTGCTGAAGAAGTACTGAATTTCTCTGTAGAGGAGGTACTGTATTTCTTGGGAATGTACTGAAAAAGTACCGTAAAAGAACTGATTTTTGGCCTGCCTGTTTTAGTAACACCCTGTCCAGTTTGGATCAACTTTCTAGGCATGTCTTGGGCAAATATGAATAGGTACGCACTCTTCTCAAAGCTGTTGCTCTGGAGGGCCTTTTTTCTGCAGATGATGGCACATTGATGGCTAAAGCGCGAAACCACATATCTCTGTTTGCAACGTTGCAGACTTCCTGCCTTACTTTATTTTTTCTTTGAAAAACTAGTCGATGTAATTTCTGGATAACTTGCTTGACTTTTCCTTGCAGTCAGCACAATATTTTGTACAAATTTCAAAGTATAAAATTGGCTTGTTTCTCTTAAAAAAATAATAAAATAGGAGCGGAAATTTTGAAACATGGCAATGGAGATACTTGGGTTTGCACCCTATTTATCTTGTTCTTTTTCAAGTGGTTTCGTTTGGCCATCAAACTGATCTCTTTTTTTTGCATCTTTCAAGGGTTTTCGTATTCCTCTTTTTTACTTCCCGAAGAAAATTAAATTCTTAAAATACAAAGCTTACAATCCAGTCATTGAAAAACTTTTATTATCCAGAGAGATTTCCATGAATTCTGATTTGATCAATTTGCAGCTTCAAGGCGCCACTTTGAAATTGCTTTTCGCATGTTTGATTTGAATGGAGATGGTGATGTTGACTCAGAAGAATTCGAGAAAGTAGCAACCCTAATCCGTCAGCAGACAAGTATCGGAAACAGGCACCGAGATCATGCTAACACAGGAAATACTTTTAAGGTATACCAGACTGGATTGCAGAATAAATTGTCAGAACGAGAAAAGGTTATTTTACTGAAGATTCTCAGTGCGTGCCCCCTTTCAACCCTCTCCTAAGTAGTACTTTTTCTTTTAAGGATGTGGCTATTTATCCTTGTGGCTTAAGGAGATACATTAATAATATTATTGTTTTATTTTATAGAAGTAAAATGTATTAAATTACATTTCCTAAAATCCTTTGTGACTGAAATAAGTTTTCCTCCCTAAAACTGAAAGTATCTTTCCAAGGAATGAGCTTTTGACCAAATTCTGGAAGTACATTTAAGGTCTAGAAAGACCCAAAACGTTATAGATCTCTTGGCGTGACCCCAGCTTATTATTCCAATGCACCTGCCTGAGTTAAATACTCTCTTCCCTCAGTCTCGCTCTGGTACTCATTAAGTAGAGATCAAATTTTTTGACTTCAATTAAAAAATTTTGAAATTTTTTGGCCTTGCTTTCCCTGCAAAATAGTGTGGACCCAGCACTGCTTTACCACTTGGTTCCTTTTCTTTCAGAACACAGAGAACGTAGAGTCGTGATGTAAATGAGAGAACTGGCGCCATGCTCTGGTCGACGAGTTCTGAGCCCGGTGTGCGCCGAGCCTTGGTCATTTTTTCGGTACATTTTCGATCCAAAATGGCAATGTAGAATACATAGTAATTCCTATTTTCTTTGCTTACATCAGATGGCGGGGTCCTTGTGTATCAAAAAAGTGACTCGGCGTAACACAGGAGTCTCGGAATTTGGGACCTGGATAGTGCCTAAAAGTGGTGCCAGCTCTCCCATTTACATTACGACTCTATGTACTCTATGTTTCAGAAGTACCTTTTCTTGCAGCTCAAAAGTACAATATAGGTGTCGACAGTGAAACTCCCAAACCTTGTACCTCGTTTGCAGTGTTTAAAAATCTCCACTTCCTTTTTATTCTTTTGATGGAAAACAAATCAATATTTTTCCTTGAAATTTTCACAGAATTTTCTTCGCTCAAGGAATCAAAATCACGGAAGTTTTAAAGAAATGACGTTGACTAGTTTTCCATCGAAAAAATGAAGTATGACAGGAAATCTGCAATGTGGCAAACCGAGGCACATGTTTTGGGAGTTTCATTGTAGATGGGTATCCTAATTATGCCATTAAGTAAGAAAGTGTTACTCTTTCTTAATTGCTGGCTAAAACATTTTCCTTTTTAAAGTTGATAATATTTGAGATTAAATCACATATCTCGATTGTAACAAGTTGCCCTTGTTTTGCTCCAATCTCTTTAGCCAGTTTTCTCGGCAATCTTAAATTTGTATGTAAGAGTACCTAATGTTAATGTAATCTTCTATTACTTTTTAAGGGTGTAAACTCAGCCTTAACCACTTATTTCTTTGGGCCAAAGAAAGATAAGAAGCTAACCATTGAGAAGTTCTTGGACTTTCAAACACAACTGCAGAAAGAAATTTTAGGTTTAGAGGTAAGTTTGGACTAGAAGTTTTTCAAAGAATAATTTGATGGAACTTCCTTTACCTTAATTAGTCAATTATTATTTAAGACTTTTCTACAAAAAAATGAAAAAAAAAAGAAAAAAATCAGAAGTAATGAAGTTTCTGTAAAATATGACAAGTCTAAGACAAAACACAGATTAGAAACCTGTTCTGTACTTGTTTCATACTCAATTGAAGCCTTAGATGTAAAAAGAGCATTTCTTGGTTGAGGTTTCGCAAAATCTTACTACTTAACGTTTCATCCATTACTTTTGATCAAAGCAAATGTATGTAATTTGTTAAAAATTTTACTAAATATTCTCTAAGATTTTACAATGATCCAGACAAAAATTCACTCAACGGTTTCCTCTCTAAATTATAAATTAACATTGGAAATTCTAAAACGCTGCAACCTAGAAGTGCCCTCCCTTAACTCACTACCTCAATTTGGGAGAAAATAAATTTTGCCTTTGATTTTTAAAATTTTAAGGCTCAGAGAGTATTTTCTTTGAGGAACTAGTTTATCAAAGTAACAACAAATTTTCAGGTGCAAAACAATACATTCTATTGACAATCCTTTCCATTATTGAAAATTCTGTCAGAATGAAAAGAGAAGAAAAACATTGAATAGCATGGATTTTTGAGTTATACTTCCACCGAAGCTCAAGAAGCTGCGTACCCTATAACTAATGTAGTTTTTTCTTTTCAGTTTCAACGTAAAGGACCTGATGAAAATGGTAACATATCTGAAGCTGATTTTACAGAGCTTCTTCTGGCATATGCTGGATATGCACCGAAAAAAAAGTCTCGCATGTTGAAAAGAGTTAAAAAACAGTAAGTTCCTTGTTTTTTATTTTGCTTATAGACTATCGGATACCAATCTGGCCATTCATCTACCCTCAAGCCTTCAACTCTTGCTCTCTTCTTTTTGCGCTCCTTCTGCAATCAGAGTTTTCTTTAACCTACAAAGGCTGTCCAAATAATACAGAGGCAAGGCGTGAATGATCGATTATCGATATTTCCCCATTTGAGGATGTGGTAAAGAATCTATCATTAAGGTGTTCGTTGTGAACACCCTGTTTATCGATCTTTTTTCATGGGTTTAAATAGCAGATCAATGGATATATTGCAAAACATGCCATGCCACTGAAAAATACCTGAACTGACGCTGTATTTCAATACCGACTTTTCCATTAGGCTGGTCATGGTCTTATTTAAATGATGGAGTGAAAAGCAATCAATGATTGAAACCAAGATCAACGCATTTGAGCCAAAATTGATCTAGTTTTTGCTGTTTCAGTAGTGTGTCGCCTAAGATTTTTGAGTTTCAGAATAACCAAAAGTTTTCACTCTCTATAGTACCTACCCTAGATAGCTTACTTTTAGAAATAGAACGTCAGTTCGGATATTTATGGGACAGCCTTTGGATCTCTTGTGTAGTCACGTATAAGAATAGGAATATGAAAAAAAAATTGACCAAAAAGATAGGAGACTCGTGAAAAACTGCTCTAACCCAAAGAACCAGTATTATTAGTGAGTAAACTAATATCACTATCCCAAAAAAGGATTAAAATAGAGTCTTTCATTCCTTTTCATATTTTTTATCCTTTGAATTTATTTTTTTTCTTGAAGTGTGTCTTACGCTGCAAGGTGTATCTGGAATCTTTGTAAGAGGAACCCTCTGGGTAATCTGGAGAGTATGCCAAGGCCAAGCCAAAAGGTCACATTAAGGACCTCTATTCCCTCTAGTAATCAATCTCGACACTGGCTTCTAACTTTGCATTATGCCAAAACAATTTTCAGTTTTTTGAATTATTGAAAAAGAAACTAAAAAAAAATCCCTTAATTGAAATAATCATGCAAACTTGATACTATTTTTAGGTTCAAAGAAACTGCAAAAGGTATCAGTAAGGAGGATTATCTCAAATTCTTCCATTTTCTGAATAACATTAATGATGTTGACACTGCTCTCACTTTCTATCACATAGCTGGTGCTTCAATTGATCAAGGTGAGGTGTAGAATTTTTTAGAGCATATTTAGATGCATGAAATCACTGCACTTTCGAGAAAGGCTTGTCAAGTACTGATAAGGATTCGTCTCCTTTTATCTAGGTATTTTATTTTGATTGTAATTAATTTCCACTTTTTCCGAGGGCTTCAAAGAATAGGATTTCAAAGAGATTTCAAACATTAGGATTCAATAAAAATAACCCAACATCAAGTAAAAAATAACAAAATAAAGTTTATTTACAACAAAATACCTGTACAAGAACAAAATAGCCACAGCTGCTGCTGTGCAATTTTTAAAGCGGGATAAATTTCCTGTGAGGGGGGGGGGGCTGTTATCATTTTAGAATTTCGTATACGCTAACATATTTTGATAATTATCAAGAGAAAATTGTTCAGCTCTTCAACAGTTTGAGGATGTTTCTCTACAACAAACCCCCCATCCTCGAGGCAATTTTTCGATTTTTTTTTTTTTTTAATAAACCGTGGGGGCCCTTTAGCAAAAATGCCACAGTAGGAATCCAATTTTTCCTCATAATTTTTGGGTCGTATTTCAATAAAAAATCTGGGTAGATGCTATGTGACCTCCCCTTTTTAGAGAGTGGTACCCTGGAGTATTCCAAGTGCTTTACACGTATTACAATCGTACATTTAATCAGACTATACAATTATTGAGACTATCACAATTATGCTATCTTTGAGACAATCACAATCATGCATTTAATTAGACTATACCTACGATTATGTATCAATACAAACATTTATGATTTTTGATGAGGCTGAGTGCCTACGTAAACTGTCATGAGCTAATTTCTTCTGATGGATCAATTTGCTGGAACGTATTTTTTGAAAACTGTTGCAACTCTTTCGCAATTATTCTTTTGTGGCAAGCTACTACCTAAGTGAATTCACTATGAGCCCTAGAATACTGCTTTGTGGCCATGAATGTTGTATTCATGTTTCCTTGCTTTTGTTCCATAAGTGCAAGTTCAGTCAGAAAATATGACAAGAATCAACAAAGAAAATCAGCCTTCACAGAATGTTGTGTCAGGCTGTATCAGTAAATCTTCATTCAAGTTCATTCAGGTGATGAGGGTTAATAGAGCTTATGCTGAGGCACTGCCTGCGAGAATGGAGAGGCTGTAACTATTTTTCTATGACGTCACACTAGTAGATAAAACTCCTCCGCAATTTAACATGTGTTCTCACGGAGAACGCATAATGATGCATGTTCTTTTCGTGCCCATATCTTCTCAGGGGCTAATGCAATCTAATTCAAAAACTAAAAAGAACCTTTTCGAAAGAGGACAAAATTTCACTGCAGGAAACTGACTAGTCCATTGATGACACTGTCTGATAATTAGGAAATGAAGCTAAATACCGAAAATCCTTACTCCACTCAGATTTAAACGTGCCGCTCATGCAACTTTGGCCGACCGAGGGCCACTCTGATTGGTCCACGCGGTGACTGCCTAACTCATCGATGCTTCAATGGCCAAGAGATTATTGTTGTTTTCGGTAAATATCTGCTAGTTTGATGTCACAAATTGACTAGTTGCGGCCTCTCCACTCTCGTAAGTAATGGCCAAGGCTGTGATAACAATAACCATAGTAGATCTGGAAAATTCAGCTCTACCCTGTAACTGCCGAGAGTGCGATTTGCTTTTATAACTTGTGTGTCCTTCAGCAGGGAGTAATAATTACTTCCTAATGGGTACTTTTGATGATGATTTACCAAACATAGCATCCAAAGTCAAGCCAGAGAATACAACAATGGTGGCAATCCATTGCCTAAGAATCAAAGCGTTACCAAAAAGGAATACAGATCCTAAAACAGTGAAGAACTTTCTGGTTGTTGTTATAATAGAACAGGGTAGTGGTCCGAATTCACTAACAGTCAAGAATATGAAAAATTGTCCCAATGCGCTTGCTATTGAAATCATCATCAATCGCCAGATTATGGTAGGATATCTTCCAACAAAAGTAATAAAATCCACCAATTCCCCTGTTATAAGGATTCCAATACCCAAGTAAAATACAGACCATTTATTCATGTTAACCATCATGTGGCCAGATCTCGTTTGGGACTCGTGTCTCATTCGCTCCTGTATTGCGCCTGTCAGTCCATCCATAGTCAAAGATAGAATCAAGAGAAGCTCGCCAAAACCAAAAGTTGAATCATTCGATGCTGATTTCTTGTCTTTGTACATGAACATTGCTACACCGGTCACAATCAATAGGACGAAAATGTACTTCTTGAGTGGGTATGACTTCCTCCCAAGAAGAACTCCCAATATCATCACTGGAATTGGCTTCCCGGACTTCGCTATCACTTGCGTTGGGTAGTTAACCCATTGTAGGGCCATATTGCTCGTAACCATGGCCAACAAGTATGTGAGGGAACTGGACGCGTAATATTTAATCTGGGTTGTGTCTTCTCCTTGAGGTTTTGCTGCTAACACGATCTTCGCGAAAATATAGTTCACAACGCATTGCACAAACACCAAACCAAGAATGCATTTGAATTTCTCTTTATCAGGTCCATATTCACCCCTCGTAATTTGTTCTTGTAAAATTCCGAAGTAAAAGTAACATGCAAAAATACCTCCAGCGTAAACTAGAAACTTTGGGTTCTTCATCTTGAAATTTTGTGTGAATGATCTCGTGGGAAAACTTCTATGTGGCCAAAGCGAGCGTCACGTTTTGTTTACATCGGCATAAGTACAGCTGATAGTGATACCGGGACGGGACACGTCACTAATAAAATTTGTTGTGTGCCGTTCTGTTATCAGTAAATTACATTATGACCACATCAGAGATAATTTATTCCAATTCTTCCTCTTTTCGAACAAAAGGAATTTTAATGGCAAACTCTGAACCGGAAATCATTGTGATTGGTCCAGAACGGTTCATTCCATTTATTCCTAGTTTAACCAAAAAGCGCGGGAATTTCAAATAATTCCGGATATTCTCATCAAGTCGTCTCCTGTCAATTTTCTGTCTCTCATCAATTATTTAAATATGTTTATTTTTTAACTTAGCGTAAATTTCATCTAGGTTATGTTGTACTCGCTCTGATAGCTTACTAAACAATATTACTATTACTTGTTTTGATTTCAGCAACTCTCAAGCATGTCGCGAAAACTGTTGCTCATGTGGATTTGAGTGATCATGTCATTAATGTTGTTTTCACAATTTTTGATGAGAACTGTAAGTAAATTTTTATGTCTATTTCTAATAATTCTGAATACTAGTTAAATACTTAAATTAGGTGCATCTACACAGCACATTAAAAAAGTCGTAATTTTTAAAAGTGAACTTAGAATATAAAAGCCTCGTAAAATTTCCTTTCGACCACTCTCTTGAAATCTTTCATTTTTACTTCTCTAAAGTTATCTTTGTCAGTGCCTCTGATTAATGTATGGCTCTCTGATGATTCCAATATTTCAAGCAAGTACTTTTTACGTATTTATAATAGTATACCGATAATAATATCACTTTGTTTTTTTTCTTTTTTGTGACAATTATTTTTCCTTCATACTTACATACAAATTTGTTGTTTTTTCTTTTCTAGTGGATGGACAACTCAGCAATAGAGAGTTTGTCGCTGTGATGAAAAATCGGTTGATGCGTGGTCTAGAAAAACCTAAAGATACTGGTTTCGTGAAATTCATCCAGTCAGCTGTGAAGTGTGCCAAAGAAACCAAACCTCTTAACATGGTTTTTTAAATTTTCACGTGCAAGTAATGTATTGTTCACTCTATTTTCTAATTATTATAGATTTCTATTTAACTCTAGTCAACGATGTTTCAAATTTGATTGCCAGAAGAATAGCCCTTCCTAAACTTGAATTCTGTTCTCTTAAGACATGAATAACAGTCTGAATGTCATAACAGACTTGAAGCTTTATCTAAATTACATATTTAACACACGAGATAAGCATAAAATTGATATAGCTTTTCATTTGTATCCTCCCCAATTTGATCACTGATGTAAACTGGATGGATCACTGATGGAATTAATAGTAATGTTACTAAAAGGGGAAAAAATGGTGCCTTATTAAAAATGATGACAACTTCGCTGCAAATCGTTTCACATGGACACATCTTGACAGCTTGTAGCCCCTTCAACTTTTCCAATAGCCCATCAAGGCGATAAGCTTGCAAAATTTTCCGAAGGAGGCTTTTGCTACTAGGGCAATCTGCCCTGATACCGACTAGTGCTGGTCTCCATTATTTAGTCTGGTTACTTTGGGTCTCCTCCCCTTTTTATCCATTGAATTTGTTACTATGTTTTTTAGCTTCTATTTTTTTGCTGAGAATCTCACATATTATTATATTACCCCTTTTTAAAATGATTTTCTTGACAAAACAATTGTCAAAAATAATAAGCGACACTTGGCTTAGTTTATTTTCAATTTGTATGTTTTATTCTGCAGCTCCACGAAAAATGTACTTACATGATGGGAAATTCCTCCTGCTTCAAGTACATTCGTGGCTTACTATATATTTTCAGTGTGAGGTATAAGCAGATCTGCATTCTTGATCCTTATAAATAGCACAATTTTTAAAGTTTTTATTCTATAAAGGTCTCTGTCACACAACGTTACCAAATTTGCACAACTATTTGAATTTGCATTTTGCGTATAGCCAAAAGTAAACGTTTTGAAAAATAAAGAAAATCGTATAACATTTTTGAGTGGGGCTGTAGTAGTTTCCCAGGAAATTCAAAATAACCTGTGTTACTGGAAAATGATTCTTACTTTATTAAGGATCTAAACTTGAAAATGGTTTAAAATTTTTTAGATAATTGTCATTTTGTGCTGTTGGCTCATCTTCAGGTGTCAAAGCGGTATTCTCGAAAAATTGCATGTTGATAAATGAATTAATAAACGAAGAAAATTTGGTAAATGGTATTTTTGACCACCCCTTGAACCTGACAGTATTAACATGTTTTACTATTTAAGTAGCATTGTATGATAGAGGTCTCTGTTTAGATAAAACCCCTCTGTTCTGTTTCAGTTTTTCAGATTTTAAAAATGTCCTTCTTTTACAATTTTTTTGTTAGTGGTAATAATATTCTTGATGCATGAAAAGCTTCATATTCAACCTTTTACAATTTGTCTAATGTCTATTTAGCTGAAAGGGATGTGCGATGACATAACGCACAGAGGATGCAAAGCCACTACTTCTTTAAAAAGAAGGCAATTTTTAAAATAGACCAATTTCCAGCCCCACCCTGAATTTCGCATTTGTTTAAAGTGTTCTTTGTTTACAATTGAGACTTAATGTAACTTATGCATGTAGGTACTTAATCTGTTTACTCACACATTTCTATCCATCGGTCTGTTAAATAGATTGTATTATATTGTTTTTGTTATTAACTATTAAACCAAGAGTTTTCAGTAACCTCAGCTCTCTTTTACTGATCCCACAGTTACTTTTATAACCATATATTTCCCCTTCTTTTCCATTTTAGAGAAGGATAAATAAAAAGAAACAAAAAGTTTGAAACTGAAATATGAATTTCTCTCTAAATTACGTGAGAGCAGAAATGTAATATTAAACACTTGACATGGTCCTCTTTCTTGAAGGATAAGACTATCTCTTATTTGGTCACAAAGTGCGGGAGAGCATTGTAAAATTGGCTATTAAGTAACTTCCGAAAAAATTCAGTCGTTTTTCTCCTAACCGATAACTTGTGGTAACTTGATATACCAGTTAAGATATGGACAACAATTTGCAATTAGGAACTACGATTTGTGGCTCATCCACAAAAACACTCATGTGCATAGGGAAAATAATGGTATCTACGTTGAGTCTAAACTGAGCTAGCATTGGTAGTTCATAGTTGCAAAATAAGGTCCATATAGAAATCTGCACAGTTTTGGTCTTTTTGAGGATCCTCTAAGTCACAAGAAAAATGGCAAAAGCTTAACACAAATGAAAAAGTTTTTATTTATAACAAAACAATTCTTAAGATATTTTGTCGGAGTTTAACAATATTTAAAAATTTACTAAATAACTACGAGGCTCAGAATATACAAAGTGGTAAAATCTAGTCAAATAATAATACAATATAACAGAGTGGCAACACCCGTAGAGTCCAGCCCAATTAGGTATAAGATAATTTGATGTGATATTGCTGAAATGAAACCTTTCAAGTAAATATCGTAAAGCTCATATTAAAAGGTTTTCTTCTTAGCATGGGGGAATATCTGCTAACAGTTGGATAATGTAGAAATTAAACCTTTTACCTACAAAAGTCCATCCAGCAGACATTATATGGCTGTTGTAATAATTTTTTTGCGATACTTTCAAGCTTGATTAAATGCTGCAAGAGTCTAAATTTATTTTCCCGGAAATTCAAACCATCGCGACAAGTACCCTATCAATGGCTAAAGTGCAAAACTACGTATCTCTGATTGCAACACTGTTGGTTTTCTGTTGTACTGTATTTTTCTTAGGAAAACTGGTCGACATAATTTATTGAAGATTGCCTTTATTTTTCTTCTCTGAGAAAAGCAGAATATTCTGTAAAAATTTCAAGCTATGAAGTTGGCTTGTTTTTCTTCACAAAAATAAAATAGCGGAAATTTTGCATTGCGGAAACACCGCAATGAAGATACACAATTTCCCACTTTGACCTATGCAAGAAACTTAAGTCACCAATATTTTAACGTTCTTGTAAAAGACTGCCCAATTTCAGCTAAAAATAAATATAAAATAGCTGAAAGGAAGGGTTTTTCTGTTCTTGAGCTTTAAGAAAAGCTCATTTAAAGTGGTTGAACCTTTAGAGAAGTTATGCCTAAGTAGTTATGACTTTTCACTGAACTTAGTCTGACTCTCTTTGCACCAAGAGAATATCAACCATCTTATGTTTTTGACAATTTTACACTCTTAGGTTTTTTCTTCATATTTAAAAATATGAAAGTTTTTAAAAAAATAGAAAACATAGGAGTGATTGGAGCATTTCATAGTGTCTTGTAGCACTCATACATCTTAATCTGAGACCTGATTTGGCGTCAAGTTTTTATCTAGAATACCTAGTTTACAAGCACAGCGTAAGAGGAGGGTCAATGTTAGGACGCTCTCAATGGGCGCTTATTATAAATAGCATGTACGTCTGACTCCAAATCATCATTCAAAGAGTTCAAATAATCAGAATTCAGGTCCGACTTATAATTAGGCCTGGATGGCCGTTGATTATCAATGCCTGAGAAAAGTCGTCTTTGGTTGTCTATGCTATCTACATCAGAAAATAGTCGACGGTTGTCTTTGCTTTCTACATCAGAGAACAGTCTCCGATTGTCTTTGCTATCTACATCCGAGAGCATTCTCCTGTTATCTTTACTATCTACGTCGGAGAAAAGTCTTCGGTTGTGATTTTCTAGCTCTGCGTAATGCCGTCTTTGATTATCTGGGCTGGTGAGGCCTTGTGGACTTGTTTTGAGCGTAGGGTCATTGTACCGCTGTGAGACGGACGTGAATTCACGGTGAGCGTTTACCACTTTGGTCAGTCTCGAGATAACCTCGAAATCAAGTGAAGAGCAATCCAAGCCCAAGAGGTTCGTAATTGTTCTCTTAAAATCCAATAGCTGAAAACAGATTAATTTAGTTTTTTAAAACTGACTCTTTAATTTTGACATGGTAAAAAGTAAAATGGAAATGCAACACAAGGCTCGGAAGCCTTAATCACACTCAATTAGAACAACAATTTCAGGAGGAATTTCAGAATCCAGTTCAGATCTCTACATTAATTTTATCAATATAATAGTTATCTATGAATAACATTAAATAAAAATGTTCATCCATTCTTCCTCAGTATGCAGTAGCCCCCTCTTTCAACGCTGTGTGATTACAGGGCAGACTCCACAATATCTAACAATTTTAAATATTAAATAAATATTAATGCAATCTACGTTCAACTGGATCTAGACTTAACCATAATCATGGCTAAAAAAATTTTGTGGGAGGAGGGGGAAGGGGCCATTTACTCTTCACAGGGGTATACTGATATACAACAACATACTTTCAAACTTTCTTGGCCCGCAGCCCACTCCTTCATTTTCTACAGTGTTTTAATTTTTCTACATTTGCAGTTTTTGAAGAAAAAAATAAGGAGAGATTAGAAATTAATATGATCATACATACCGCATTTTCACGTGTTACAGACTCTGCCAGGCTTTGTTTAGTATTAATAAGATCTTCTTTCAGGACTTTAGTTTCTGTTTCCAAGAGACAGCGCTCTTGCTCTGCTGATTCGCATGTTGAATGACACTGCAAAAATAAATAATATGAAATGAGTCATCGTTCACACAGTTTTAAGGCAATATAAGTTGTTGAAACTTACAGTGTGGAGCTAGTCTATTACTATATCTTAATAATTTGCCAACGACCTTAATTAATATATTTACCAATAACCTTTAATAATAATTATTGTCAATATTTGTATAATAATATATTGTATAACAATAATTGTATAATAATAATTTGCCAATAACCTTTTTCCCATCCATTAAAGTTTTTTTAAAAAATTTTTATGGATCAGTGTCATAGAGTAAAAGGATATCTGACTCCCATTTTTAGGAAAATTAAGTTAATGGTGCTATGAAAATTTCTGACATGTGTCTCTGACTTCATGTGAGGACAAAATTTGAGATCCTTACTTAGGATTAGCTACAAGATATGAAGTTCCAAAGCCAACAACTGACTTAGAGACCCGGAAAAAAAAGTGTTTTCACAAGAAATTGACTCCTGGGAATCCAAATTCGATGGTCCCAAAGCCCCAAAATTCAGCCTTCAAGGGATGCTCTGCCTTGAATGGTATGGATTTGCGACATTTTTACTTTTTACAACATAGATTTAATAGGCATAAACCCGAAATTATATTAGACATCAGCCGAATTCTTAAAGATCAGGGCCGAATTAATCCTGTAATAGTCTCAATTACTACTATAAAAGAAATTAGAATTAGAGGAGTCCCCGAAGGAACTAAATGAGAAAAAGACTTGAAACAACTGACGAAAAACCGTTTTCTTATCAATTATTTTTCTTCTTTTTTTTATGAAAGAGAGAGTTTGCTTGAATCAACTCAAATTTGATATTATTAAAAAATCAAACGCTTTGGTGCGACCGATCAAACACCTTAATGAGAGAATTAAGAGAAATTATCTCTTTAAGGCTTCATTAACTATATTGGATTACCTGTTGTTTAAGTAGAGCCACTTTCCGTGCATATCTTGTTCTTAACATTTCAAGTTCAACGATCCTTTTCTGCAGATCTTCGATTTTCTTCCCTCTTTCAATTGCAGTGACCTGATAGAAAAGAGAAAGTAACCTTGATTTAAAAAAAAGGTTGGAGCATCTTGGAACTAAGTCGTTTCTTTGCTGTTGACATCATGGTGGGGAAAAAACTACTTTATTAAGAACTATTGATGAAATGTTAAATTAGAATTAAATTGTTAAATTTGCTTCTTGGGGGTGAAGCAGACTAAGATTATGTCAGTTTTTTCCTGTTAGACAGCACATATGGATCACATTCTGCAATATGGAACCACTGATTCTGGCCCATTTTAGAAACAACATAAATGCCATTGGTTTACCTATGCAGAAAGGTGCTTTTATGGAAGAGTCAGAGATAGTAGTCCCTTATTGCAAAATGTAATCCATGTATGTATGAAAAAGGTTCAATAACAAAAAGCTGTCCTGTCACTTGGAAATTAATTACTCAAATTAACATTAATGCTCTGCTTAATTCCTTTTATTTTAAACAAAGGATTTTAACTTGAACTTTTCTAATAATCTGAGTAAAAAATACAGCAGCTGATTTTAATTGAAAGTAATTTAAAAGATTTAGAAAGGGAAGAATCTCTTACAGACGGATTTTTCGGTCAAATTTGGTCTAATTCTAAGTTACAATTCTTTCCTCTTGGTGAACACGATTTAGTTTTGAGCTTTCATTCATAAGCAGCTTTCTGGCTACACAAAAGGTCAATCAAGTGGCAAATAGTAATGAGCCACATCCAATGGAAGATAAAACATCCCGACAGATAATCCAAGCTGAGGCAGATAACCTACTGATAGATTTTCTCCATTGCAGAAAACAGTCAAGCATTTGTCCCATTTGTCCTGAATTCAATTTTTGGCAGCAGAAAATTGGTGTGGATTATTCGCAGACACCCATGGTAGGTTTTGTTTCATATCTTTATGGATAAGGAAAATACCTGATAAATTTGACATTGTACACTATAATCGATTTTAGTTGGTGATTTTAATATTCATTGATTGGCTCATCCATAAACTTTGAAATTAAATAAAATGAATACCTTATAATTTGCTGCTTCTGCCAACTGAATTTTAAGATCATTGGATAAAGCTCTTGCTTCTGTCAACTGAAGTTGTAGTCTATCAGCTTGTTTTAGAAGTTTTTTGACTCTGAAAAGTTAAAAAAATTAGAGGCACAAATTATTTTTTGTACCGTGTTCACCATAAAAATTTAGGCACTTTCCCATGCAAAAAATTGCTAGACATTGTCTTCCCTCTTTGCAAAGTTACATGAACATGATAACCGTGTATTTATATTGGCTCCTTCAATGGAAACTTACCTGTAAAAACTGCACTTTTTGGGGTAGGTTTGAACTTTGTTATAGCGGCAGGTCATTTCCTTCTATAAAATTACAAAATTTGAGAAGAACTTTTAAAGTAATTGCGAGAGGCAAAAGTCCTAGATCACAAAAAAATCTTGAGATTCAGAACTTTCTATTGAAAATAAACGTAGGAGTCAAAATCCACTCACTGAGAACCTGCAATGACAGCTCATAAGCTGTTAGATGAAAAACTAAGGAAAATCACATTTCTTAAGAAACTGTTAATTTCTCTCTAACGTTAAAAAAATATGATCAGTCCATTGCACTCGCAGTATTTTTCAGCTAGAGCGGCAGCACTTCTAATTTCATCATACGGCATTCTTGATGTTTCACTGTTTTCAATTTTCCAATCCTTGTAAGTATTCTGTCAGTTCGTCATGAATGACAAGGAATGTAACTTGATTACACAATAAAAACTCTCAGATATCCCAAAGTAAAAAAAGATTATTTTGTACTTCAAAATCTTGACCCAGAAACTAATTTGAACACCCTCCTCAGTATTGTACCTAATCTACATAGGCTGATCTCATCATGATCGCATGGGTATATAAAAAAAGAATTTCTTACTTTAAATTGGCTTCATCCTTCTCAGCTTCAAGTAGCGACCTTACTCGGCAACTATTTTCATGTATGTTTAATTTCCGCCTCAGCAGATCTAAGTGCAGGTCTCTTCTTTGCAACTGGTCTCGCAAAGTTCGCACTCGCCGCTGAAGTTGGTAGACGACTGCTGTCTGAAAAAATTATTTTTTACATGATGAGCGAGTAAAACAAAACACATTTTGAAAATGATTTGATCATGAGACAAACGTGAACAAAGATGTTGGATTTAGTAGGCGCACTCTCAATCTGCAAGTCAGAATTTTAACCCTTCATACAGGAGCCTATCTGAATCTCTTTTCATACGATCTGAGTTGAGATGAACAGTTGCTGGAACTTAGCATGAAACCCATTTTACATTTTCAGAGCCCATTGCACAGATACTACCTTTGAGCTGCAAGCTCAATAATTTAGATGTGGCCACACTTCCGGGTGAATTTGTCACGGAATTTATTCATCATTTTAAAATTTTCTTTCCCATTTAAAATCTGATAGATAGTATTCTATGAATGAATGAAGAATGAATTGTTTATTTTCCCACCCCAAGACATTAAAAGTAATGAAAAATTTTCTCCTAATCAGTTTCAGCAGTTTTTTATTTTGCTTCTCGAGTTTTGCTTGACAAAAAATCTGTTGCGCGTATATGAAATCCCTGACCCCCAAAAACTTCCCATGACTCCAGTCCTTGAAACTCCCCCTAAATGCAGTCTTATCTATGGAAACGGACTCAATTGATTTTGAGCTATTCCCTCTCATGATGGGAAGTATAAAAGGGAATAAAATAAGGTGTAAAAAGTCAACTTTTGAACATTCTTGACAAGGTGGAATGGATGATTGAGAGACTTTGATACGTGTTTAAGCCTGTAATATTTCTATACTGGTTGTGATGTTAACTTTATGTTAGTTGTGATGTCTCCTCTTAGTCAGCAGTTGATCTACTGGTTGACAGCTGTTGCTGAGACTGAAATCTAGAATATCTAAACTATATAGGTACATAATATCTAACTACGACTTAAGCCATTGTAATATGTACATTAATATTTATGCGAAAATACATCATTGACAAAACAATTAAAACGAAGATTAAGTCTAATAGAGGGAACAAATCTAGAAATCTTTTGAAAATAAAATACTGGTGCCTAAAAATAGATGTAAATTATCAAAGCCATTGTGAAAGTGAATTCCATGCTGAGGGGCAAAAATTAAAAAGTGATTGAACCATTCAAAAAATTATAAAAGAAAAGAGAATATTTCCTGTTCTTGATAGTAATAGAAGTAGAACTAGGAGATCTTTAAGAGAAGTCTGATTTTCACTTCAAATAATTGCCTATATGATGACATTTTCCTAAGCGTGAGAATTTGTATACAGGTGATAATATTTGGAGCGGTTTGTTTTCAGTATGCGCAAATGTAAGCGTTCAAAATTCCTTTACCTCTCTCTTATTTGATTCCTCATTAAATTATGATTATGGTTAGTAACAATCTTCATTAGTTCATTTCCAATTTTCTTTGTTTTTAAGGTGATGAAACTCATAAAACTCATAAATTTTTGGACGGAATTCAATGATCGTTTTGTCTTTATATTCTCCTAGAGATAAACTGTTCTTCAAATATTTTTTTCCCCTTACAATCGACCATATTTTGCTATTTTGCCCAAAAATCTATGCTAATAAAAATTCAAAACTATCTCCTTCCAAACATCCATCCTTTAAGCTCAGATGATCCAAAAGTAACTACTGAAATTTTAAAGCTCTTTAAGCAAGTGAACTTAAAAATGTAAGCAATATTCCTGGTTTCCAACGTAAATAGCCTAGTTCCTTATCGTCATAATGAATTAACTAACTAACTAACAAATATTTTTTGTTGTCATTATTCAAGATGAGTCGTTATTTTCTGCAGTCAAATTTGTGAAGATTCAGATTAAATTCCCTTTTTTTTGGGCACTAATTACCGGTTAGATTGTTACATTTCAAGAAACAAAAGCATTCACAACAAAATCTACTCCATGAATCAGCTACCGTCCAAAAGTTTTTGAACTTTTTTGCCATATTGCTATTAGGTGAACTAAATAATATTTCTTTACGCGACACATGTTTGGTAGCATACCAATTTAACTTTGATGTTTTCTTAGTGTGATATTTGGCGAGGTTAAAAATTGTGCTTGTGAGCGTAAAAAATAACCATCAGAAATTAAGAATATCATTTACAGTGAGAGATAACTTTATCTCTATCGTTCGGTATATTTATGTACATTTTTGGACAAAAACGAATGATAGAGACAGAGAAAAGAAGCTTCTGAGCAGCGATATTGATTTGGTACACATGCAATCTTTCAACACAAGTACTTCTTACTTCACGCAACGGCAAATGATACAAATCGCAACAAGAACGTCCTCTCTTCAGACAGGGCAAACTTCCACAAGGATAGTTCAAAAGCCACTAAGATAAAAAAGTAAAACATCTCTGTTTACTTTCTTATAGAACATGACACGCACATATAGATACAGTCAGCTAAGCCCAAGAGCAACTGCCCAGAATATCCATTCCCAAACGTTTCTCCAAAAATTAATTTCTCCACGGGTAGGAAAGAATCCTGCAAACCTTTATGAGCAAAATATTTTCCCTACTTAATTCTCTGTTGTTTCCTGTTAAGATTTACTTCCACCAAGGTAATGGCGCTTTGCGGAACCTCAAAGCAGGTATTATCCCTTGTGGGATATTTGAAGTGTAAAAAAAAAAGCTTTGAAAACCCAAATGAATATTGTAAAATGCGTAATCATTAACCATTAGGAAAAAGTTCTTACTGACTGGGAGATTTCAAAGTAACCTTGAAATGGGAAACCTAAAAAGGTAATCTCTAACTACACTGCGCTTTCACTTATTTCCATGGTTTGTAAAAGACGGCACAGACACAAATAAACATATCTAATCAAGGGTAATAGCACTGGCTGCCATACTTTTAAAGTTTCTGTTTCATTTCTTTGAATATACAAACTCTACTACTTACTTCCGATACTTAACTGTTAATCAAGAAGAAATTATGATACAACAGTAAATAAAAGGGGTAAAAATCGATGTATATTGATTGATAGACACTCCTAAAAGTAATTTGAAAATTACGGGTGAGGGCAAGCTCTTCAAACGCACACATATTGTACAAAATGTCATTTTATAATACATACTCTTTTTACAGTAAAATGTACATAATTTTGACCGATGTTCCCTCACTGCACTTAACACAGATATTCAGCAATGGAAGTTAGTAAAAATAGTGATTGACTTCTGACAACCCAAATTAGATAAATACTTTTCTTGACTCATCATCACTTTCAAACTTAAGATAGAGAACTTGAAGGAAAAGCATGTGGAAAGAAGGATCCATCTGTTATACGCCACCTTACCTTGTCAACAATTTTATCGCTTTCTAAACGAGCAAGTTGTTCTGCTCTCACTAGTAAAGCATCTGTCCGATATTCATCACCAACATCTTTTGAAATGTCATCAACGTTCAAAACATTTGAAAGTCTTTCCAGGAATGATACAAACTGAAACATTTAGTAAAATAAGCGTTTCAGTGAAGTGGAGAGAAGGTAGAATGGTGCCAAATGCCCTGTGCACAACGGCTCAAAGGAATCATCCCTTAAGAGATAACTAAAGCTTAAAAACTGAATTCTATAACATCACTAATATAAATTTTTATTATGCAGGTTTAGGTTTTAAAGAAAGTATACAACCTTGGAAAGTTTAAAAAGAATGAAATTTCGCCAAAAGAGTTTAAGTATAGTATGACAATTGTTTCTTCAATGGATATGGATTAGAGGAACCCTTGTCCCCAAGATGGTTGCTTACGACCCTTTCCGCAAGTTAATCGCCCTTAAGAACCAATCAATTATAAAACATTGGTAAAACGCTATCAGAAAAAATTGGGAAAGGAAAACACTGGAAGCAGATGTTTATATTGAGTTTTTCACTAATTTTTATTTGGTAACACCTGAGGTATAGTCAGGAACATTATTGGTTGAGAGAATATTTTTTTATTTGAAAAGAGTGAAGGGACTTACCACAGCTTTGTCTGTTTGAAGTTTATCTTTCACTGCCTCCAATGTTCGAATTTCATTTTCTAGGTGATTCAACCTGGAACCGCTGACAGCTTTCTCTTCCTCTAAGATCCGCACTCTTGTGTTCATTTCTTCCCAGAGCTCAGTTTTCTTGGCTAACTGATCATGCACGAAACACAATTTATCTCGTAATGACTCAATGCACTGCAAAAATCAGACAGATTAGTCAGCTTTACGAACAGAATGAAATTGTTACGTTACCTTGCAAGTTTTCTAATTTTACTGTAATATAAGTGCCAGAAGAGTCGATCATTTTCAGGGATCCTCGGGGAAAAAAAGACACTTACCAAATGTGCAATTGACATTAATCTCCCTTCACTTCTTTGAAAATTTTGCTTACATTTCAATTATTAGTTGCAATTAAATTCTTAGTCTTTTGTGACAGCCCAATCATTGCAGAGAAAAAGGCTTAATCAGACCTTGTTGTTTGAATTTTAAAATTCTATGGCCAAAAAACGAAACCATGTATCTCTGTTTGCAACGTTGCAGAATTTCTGTTGCACCTACTTAGTTTTTTTTTTTTTTTTTAGTAAACTAGTTGACGTAGGTTCTTGAAAATTTCCTTAACTTTCCTTCTCTGTTAGCAGGATATTCTGGATTAATTTCAATCCATACAGCAGGCTACTTTCTCTTCAAAAAAACTAAAAAAGGAGCAAAAAATTGAAGCACTGCGATGGAGATACATGGCTTCGCACTTTAACCATCGACTTGTAACATCAGCAATATAAAGAAGTTACTCCAGAGCAGAAGAATGCTTAAATATTTTCATTTTATATTTAAAAATTTTGGACTAATTGACTCCGTAAGGCCCTCTTACTTCAAAAAAATCTGAAGATTTTACCAATCGACTTACGGATGATTTATCTTTATTTTCACCAAGGAGGTCTCTGATTCGCTCTTTGATTGAAAGCTCTGATGCTTCACAAAATTTTGTTGGTGTGCCAAGCATGATAGCGAGAGATTCCAGGACATGCCTTAGTTCATTTTGTACTCGAATTGTTTTTTCCTCGCTTTGACACAGATCACCTAAACAAATAAAATATTCTATTAGATATATAGAGGGGACTTGGGGGAACATCATGAAGTAGCCAATTTAAAATGCAGAGCTGTAAACATATAGGCAGAAAAACTGGATGAATTCAACTGAGCATAGGTTAGAAATAAGAATTTTTACCTAGCACGGAAATTCTCTACTATCTTGTTCATCCAGCAAGACTAAAAAACTCAGAGGTACCCGGTGTTACAGTTAGGGTAGCCCATGCAACATTTTTGTTACATAATCATATATGTACAACAACAAAAATAGAAAAATTCACAAAAGGCCTAGGCCCCTGGGCACACCCAGGTCAGAGTTTTGGCATACAACGAAAACCGTCCAAGGTAATAGACAATGATAGAGTACCCTCAACCAATTCCTCTTTGCCTTTTTCTGAAAACTGACAAGCAATTAAACTTTGGGACCCATACAGATATTTCATAGTTTAATTGATTAATGCATACAAATATAAAAACGCAATGACTATTTAGATATACACAAAAATGAATTCATTTGTTGGTTTAATTTGTTCTTATCACTAAAATTCCAAAAATTGAAACTGTTAAATGTAAAATAACTGTACGCACCTTTTAAGTGAGTAATGGTGGCTTGCTGAGCAGCGATACTATCTGATGCTGTACCGAGGCTATGACTACAAAGAGAGAGCTTGTCTCGCAGTTGACACAGTTCTTTTTCCGTTAGTCTTTGTTGAGTTTCCAAATCTTCTTTTTCCTGTGGATAAAAGCGATAATTCAGTTATTTCTTTGACAAAAATCATCTATCATTCGACATTGGAGGGAATACCTTCCAATTCTATTTGATTTTTAAAGCTCTTTTGAGTCTAAAAATTCTTCTGATAAAAATTTTCGAAGTGGTTAAAGTCTTAATAAAGCTTGTTTTAATGCTTCCTCAGTTCAAAGACGAACATAATGGCCTCACTGGTATTTAAATGTTAAGAAAGGTATTGCTGGTTCCATACTTCCAAAGGGGCAAGAAATGAACAAATTCTAAATAAAACGACAAGACTGATTGTCTAAGTTTCATTGCTAAACTGTAGATGGAGAACATTCAGCCTGGAAAAACAAGAGTTGAGATTCAGTGCTATTTGCAGTAGAACTTTATGGTTTTATTTTCCTTGTTAAAAAAATGAAAATTAGTACCTAATAGGTGCACTAACAAGATAACAAATTTCAAAAATACTCACTTTCCGTAATCGCTCCAGTTCGATAAGATGCGAAGCAGCCTGTCTCTGCAAGTTCTCTTTGTCCATCAGAGCTCGGTTCAATGCATTCCGGCTTTCACGCAGTTCTATTTCCACCGTTGCCAATGAATCGCTCAGACTTGAAGACTTGATCCGCGTCTTGGTGTGGTCTTGCACGAGATCAGAAACTCGGTCGATGAGTGCATCATTGGAGTGGCTCTCTGCTCCTTCAATTCCCAGAGCATTTGACAAACGCCGAAGAAAATCTGCCATTGTTTTTTGCGCCATTTCTTTCTGTTGTTCCTCAGCGTTGCACTCCAACTCCAAACGACTGACTCGATGTTCAAGATCTTTGGCCCGCTCCTCTTGATGCCTACATTCTCTTTGAAGTGTCTGGAAGGCCATTTCACTTCGACTATTCATGTTGTTCAAATTCCGTTCTCTCTCCTCAAGCTCCTGTGGAAACGAGTTTGTAACATGAAACTTTGCTTCCTTAAAACAATGCTTCCTTTAAATTGCAACGATGTAAGTCTTCGCTCATGTTTCATTTTTTCAACAAACAACGAACCAAAATTTCCATTGAAATTTTCTGAGAATTGTTTTTACTCCTTCTTGAATAAATCACACAAAATTGCAAGGAAACATTTTGATCAGTTTCCCTTGAAGAAAATAAAACATAATCAGAGACTTTTAAACTTTACAATTGAGATACCTATGAATTTTTGGCATATTGAAAATTCTACTAAAAGCAAAAAAGGACGGGTTCTCATACAGTCCAATGCCATGAAAATTGAACATTAAAAAAATTTTCATTACGTAACCTGCAGATATGGCTCGGGGAAATGCTTACCTGGATTCGTTTTCGAAGACTGGCAATGATAGCATTCTGTCTAACTGCTTGTTCCTTAAGTTGTTCTGTTTCAGCTTGGAGTTCCATAACTCTTTGATCACGACTCCTCAACTGAGTTTTCATATCCTGAAGCTACAACAATTGACCGAAGTATAAAGTATTAATTTCGTTCAGTACATGCCTTGACATATTTTGAAATTAACAGTTTTAATATAGCTTTTGAAGCCTTTTTAACTTTATTTTAATAATTATCTTTTTGCAAATGTTTGGTGCCAGCTTCAATTCCTTCCCCCCAACTATTCCTTTAATTTTAAGATAATATTTTTGGCCAATGATAACACAAATTTATGCTTCAGTTTTCTTCTTTTCTCGTTCTTTATCTTTTCTTGGGTATTTTTTAATAAAAAGGATGTCCATCTAATCGAAGGCTTCGTTAATAAAGCAATTGTTTTCTGAAAAGGAGTGAATAAAAATTGGTATAGGTAACTTTTGTATCTTTTGATAGGTCTTGGGTCAAGAATGTGAGTAATTGGGTGATATCTAGGCTCTTTTTCATGCTCCATAACATGAAGAAGAGAGAAGTACGACCAACAACCACGATCATGTGGATTGCATTTTGCAAAAAGTAACCAGTAGCATTCCAATGTCGTAAAATTGTGCAACCGATCTTAGCTTAAGAATATAAACTGATTATTTGAACAAGTTGTATCTTTACTCCCAATAATATGTAAACTTAAGATAAAATTACCTTTGTAAATTTTATTTTTTGCACGATTTCGGTAATTTTACTGCAGGAATGTAAGTTGTACAATCCTATATTGAAACGCTCTTAGTTCCTATTCGCAAAATGCAATCCGCATGATAACTTCAGGCATACAGCATCAGGCATACTTTATTGCATTGCCAATGAGTTTCAAACAAATGACTAGGAATTTTAAATTTGACCCACAATAATCTTAATAAGTAAGTATTCCATTGTAGTTAGAAGAAGTATTATTGTTATGGCAAGCTGCTGAAGCTTTGGATTAACTGTGACAGAATGGAGTCCTTACTTACCTCTGTGAATAAGCGGTCCCTTTTATACTGGAGGGCTGCCAGTTCACTCCGCAAGGCTGCCGTCATTTCGTGGTCGTTTAAATCTTCATCTCGGTTCATCTGGAAAAAATTGAGAGACATTAATTTGAGAGGTAAGTCAGGACGGAGGGAGACTCCATACAATGAAGCAGCACGTTGTTTGCAGGTGACAAATTCTAGAGGTATGAAATTCAATAAGTCATCTTCCACTCTTTCTGCATCAATGTTTCATAAAGAAATAAAACAAACTTTTTCATTTTTTTTTTTTTTATGATGCGCACGTTTAAAAATAAACGCAGCTATATGAGAGTGCCTCTTTAGATATCTACTTCAGGCAAAATTGGTAACAGCCACATGGCCGCCCAAAGTAAAAACCCTACACTTACTTCCATTCAACATTTTTTTAATTTTTTTCCGACAAAATCCTGTTTCACGAAAAATCTGACAAGTATTCATCCTCCATGTTTTCTAGACAACTTTGGAGTTCCATTGGGAACTCAAAATGAAAAAAATAAAGCCTTATGGCGATTGGGTTTCCATGTAATGGAGCAGCACCAGGGTGTCTACTAAAACAGACTGACCAAAACTCAGTATTTTTACAGTAATTTTTCAGTACATTCTCAAGAAATTCAGTACTTTTTCAGTACCTCCAATTGAGGAAATTCGAAAAATTTCAATTTCTCGCTCAAATTGCGCCAAAAATGACAAAAAATTAAAAACAATTCCGGACCTTCTTGCGGAATTGCCGCACTTTTTCAGTACTTCCGGACCGCCCTTAAAAAAACCAGAACTATATCTGGACTTTCCGGAAAGTCCGGACTTGTAGACACCCTGAGCACTACAAGTTGAAATAAATATAAAAAAGTCGGAATGGAGTTAAGGCGTTTTCGCTGTGGACGGCAGCATAGCAGCCGACAAGAGCACGTGTCTGGTAGGTGCACGGAAAAGCTGAGAATCGCGGATAAGTGGAACTCGCGGATAATTGGACATCACGGATAATCGAAAATCTCGAACAATCAGAAATTGCGGATAAGTGGAAATCGCGGATAATTGAAGATCAGCATAGCAGCGCGGCACTGAAACGGACTGAAACTAACCTAAAGTTAAAAAAATATGAGTGTGTACCTGAATTTGGGCAAAAATCAACCTAAAATACTTTGTTTCCGCAATTTTATTTATTAGTTCCCGCCCTACATTTGAATTCAAACTTGTCCCGATTTCGCCGCCAATCCTCTAGCCAATAGTAGAGGTGATTGAAAAGAAGCTCTAGAAGCTTCATTTTTTGCTTTTAGTGCTCCGTCTTTATGTCTTTGTCCCGAACAATCAGAAATCGCGGATAAGTGGAAATCGCGGATAATTGAAAATCGCGGATGATCGGAAATCACGGATAGTCCGAATATGCTATTTGACCAAGGATAGTAATTAGTAAAACTTACTTTAAAATATTATATAGAATCACTTTGTTAAATGGACGTATTTATGCTGGAAAAAAAAACTAAGTTGCATGCAAACCGTATGCGCATAGTTCCTTTTAGCATGAATTCGTCCAGATATTCGTCCTTTTGACATATGTTCGTCAAGAGTTAAGGCGTTTTTGCTGTGGACGGCAGCTTAGCAGCCGACAAGGGCACGTGTCTGGTAGGTGCACGGAAAAGCTGAGAATCGCGGATAAGTGGAACTCGCGGATAATTGGACATCACGGATAATCGAAAATCTCGAACAATCAGAAATTGCGGATAAGTGGAAATCGCGGATAATTGAAGATCAGCATAGCAGCGCGGCAGCATAGCAGCCAACAAAGGCACGTGTCTGGTAGGTGCACGAAAAAGCTGTGAATCGCGGATAAGTGGAAATCGCGGATAATTGGACAACACGAATAATCGAAAATCCCGAACAATCAGAGATCGCGGATAAGTGCAAATCGCGGATAATTGAAGATCAGCATAGCAGCCGACAAGGGCACGTGTCTGGTAGGTGCACGAAAAAGCTGTGAGGTTGGAGGGGATGAAGGGGGGTGTACTCACACAATTTGACACTGATTTTCCAGTTCAAAAGGTCAGTGGAACACTGAAGAATAGATGGAAACATCACATCATCACATGGACGAAAATCCGACCGTACGACAGCCCACGCGGCTGATTAATTGTCCGGAGCGCATTCCGGGAACGCACCGCGAAGGGAGGGGAAAGCGGCCGACGGAGGGGTTGAATTTCAGATCTGAGCCGAACACAGATTGAAAGTGAATGAAATGAAATTGATGATTGTTCATTGATCGGGCGGAGGATTCCACGATTGCGTGTGACAAACATAACGGGGAGGCACGCGCTGCGGCGGGGGCTCGGGGGGTCAGACAGGCACCTGGATTTCGTTTTTTAGGGGACGTTAGGCCGAGATATTCCATACCAGCACAGAGTCGATACAGTCGTGCGAGTCATATGGCGTATAACCTAAATCCGAACCTCGCATTGCATCGCCGCTCGCCGGGAAGACTAACGACCTCGGCTTACGATTCTTCGGCCGCGCCGCGCCGCCGCACAGAGAGCTCATTTTACAGTGTTTTTTTTTAAAGATTTTTTTCTGATATGGGAAATAGTATAAAAATAACATTAAAAGTGAGAAAATACACCACCTAGTGACGTCATCTCGCGACATTCTCCATTTAAACACATGTATTTTAGCAGATTAGATCATTTTGTCATAGCTTTTTTAAAAACTGTTTAATTCATGAACCAAAGGTATCCTCGAGTTCGATTCAATCAGTAATTTCCCTTTAAACACGAAATTCATCAAATTTCAGACACCTGCAAATCCTCAATTTGAGAATTTACAGGTGTCTGAATTTTGATGAACTCCGTATTTAAGTGAAAACTACTGAGTGAACTGAACACGAGGATACCCTTGGTTCATGAATTGAACAATTATTGGAGAAGGTATGAGGAAGTGATCGAATCTACTAAAATACGTGTGTTTAAATGGGAAATGCCGCCAGATGACGTCACTAGGCGCTGAATTTTCTCACTTTAAATGTTATTTTTATACTATTTCCCATATCTGAAAAAAAATTGTAAAAACTTCTGTAAAATCAGCCCTTGAAGCACTTTCAGGTGAAGGAATAAAACATGTGCATGCGAATTCTCCATTAGAGAGGTCGGACACAAATTTGTTTACTGAAACTGCAAATTTTAATGTTCATTCATACGATTATTATGAGTTGATATACATTTATATGATTTCGTCACATTTTCAATGTCAAGGGGTGCCGATAGAAGAATAATTCACGAGGAAACCAATGAAACCACTTTTAAAACCTCAAAGTTTTGTATGAACGGAGTTGTAAGCTTTTAAAGTTTCCAAATTTTGTCCGACTTCCCCCATCGACTCGATCCGCTGTGCGCCGGGGCGAGGAACCCGCGGGACGGGGGTTTCGACCGTCTCGTCTGGATTGCAGTTATGATTGCTTCCAAGCATGCTGACTTGCGGCCACTCGCCGGGGTGTTTCTTTGATTTTAACGGGTCTCTTCATCTGGGTGATGAGCGCGAGGGTGTCCGTTTTCTTCTAGGGATCGTAATTTCGGAGGGAAATAGGAACACGGGTTGGGGATTGTGATGTTTGTGTTGTTTCAATGAGTCGGGAGAAAAATATTGGTTTCAATATTTGCAGGATACGATTCTCGTGATTTCTCATTTGGCAGGGTCTCCATCGGTCGCGGTAACTGGGATCGGAGCTACCGCGGATAATTGGAAATCGCGGATAATCGAAAATCGCGAACAATCAGAGATCGCGGATGATCGGTAACCGCGGGTAAGTGGAAATCGCGGATAATTGGAAATCGCGGATAAGTGGAAATCGCGGATAAGTGGAAATCGCGGATAGTTGGTAATAGCGAACAATCAGAAATCGCGGATGAACGAAAATCATGGATGATCGGAAATCGCGGATGATCGGAAATCGCGGATGATCGGAAATCGCGGATAATCGAAAATCGCGAACAATCAGACATCGCGGATAATCGAAAATCGCAAACAATCGGAAATCGCGGATAGGTGGAAATCGCGGATAATTGAAAATCGCGGATAATCGAAATCGCGGATAGTCCGAATTTGCTATTTGACCAAGAATAGTAATAGAAAAACTTATTTTAAAATATTACATCAAATCACTTTGTTAATAATGGACGTATTTATGCTAAAAAAAAACTAGGTTGCATGCAAACCGTATGCACATTGCACATAGTTCCTTTTGGCATGAATTCGTCCAAATATTGGATGGAAGTGTAATAATTAGTCAGAAATTAATACAGTTCACTTTAGAAGGTTACAACGGCAAATTTCATTTCTGGAAGACATTTATTGAGGAAGTTTGCGACGTAGAATCGCAACGTCTCTGTTATGCGATCTTTTCCATGCGTTTTAAGAGAGTGTTTTTCAGGGTTGAAATGATTGACTCCAAAAGTTCCCTTACCTCTAGGAAAAAAGCCACCTAAAAATCCGCCGATGATCCGAATTGCTTATAACTGGGTCGCGGGTAAACGAGGCACCGCCACATTGCGCCAAATTTTCCTTTTCACATCGCATATTTTGCCAGTTATGGTATGTCTCTTGATCGACACCGCGAAAGAACTTTGGTAAAGACTTTTTTGGGGGCGGGTGGGGGGGGGGGATTTAGGGAGCTAGACTTCCTCGAGATAACTATATACAACTTTTCCATTTCCATCGATCTCAACCCAGAGAACACAAAAACACAAAAATTCAAGCATGTTCGGAAGGCGGACATTGCAGTCATGACTCTTTTACCCTTCTTCATTTTTATTTCTCGCTCCTGGAAAATTGCAGAGTTACTGCCTTAAGATTCATGCATGTATGAAAAAGAAGGAGGATAAAAAGATCATCAAGTTTCGTTCATTAATGAGACATAACACTCGACGAAATTCGCTTGATGGATGCAACATGAATGCTAACGCCTTTGGATGCGACTATTCGTGCTCCGTGGATGTCCGTGTTGCATATTTACACAGTTGAAGGCGCTTTGACGGCTTTGAGCCTTACAGAATTTTTATAACTTACAGAAGTCACGAATGGGTATAATCAAGTCTTTGGCGATATGTTGTTCTCACGAGTGAAGAGAGTGAAAGTATATCATTTTTGGTATTATAGCGCCCTAGAAAACTGACGCGGACAGAAGGACCATCAAAATTTAATTTTATCATTCTCTGACTTTTCCCTGATTTCTAATGAGAGTCCTTGACTTTTTTACGATGACGTAAAGGCACTTAATTAATGTCATAACAAGGTGGAGAAATTGTGCTGGTCTACACCATTTCGCGGGGAAATCAAATTGAAAACAATTTGAAAAAAATCATTTTTGACTCAAACTATAATTTTTGGAACTTCTTGGCTTTGTTTTCCCCGCGAAATGGTGTGGGCCCAGCACAATTTTTCCACCTTGCTACATACAGTTCGGGCCACTTCTTAGCGTTTTTACTTTCGCGCTCCCCTAGGGTAGAGGAAGTATTTTTTCTTCTCATTAATGTCATAATGTGGTCGAAACGTTGGCTTAACAACGCGATCAGCTGGCGGACCCGATTTTAACGTGGAACCCGGCTCCACAAACTATTCCCTGACCGTTGACAAAATTCCCTGACTTTCCCCTGAATTTTCCCGATCGCTAGCCACCCTGCGCGGAATATTTTGAACATAAATTCTGGAATAATTGAATTTCCTCCTTCCTTGATGCTCCCTTAACTTTTGGATATTTTGAATTCCTCGACTTGCCTCGTAAACTCCGAGACTTTTCCCATGAATCCCCTGACTTTCTCTGTCTTCCCAGGTTTCGTAGACAGCCGTAAACCGTACCAAAAAAGGTCAGGGTTGCCACAAAATTTAGAAAATGAAATTTCCTGACACTTCCCTGATTTCCCTGGGACATTTTGGTGAAATTCCCTGACAATTGAAGATATGACAGGTGGCTAAGAAGGCACTTAATTGAAAATAGTTTTCGAGCAAAATTTGTCGTCCGAAACTTCAAACCCATTCTAGAGACCAAATAAAGGTGATTCAACATATTTTCCCTGACGATTCCCAGTTTTCCCGGTATTCCCTGACTGAGGCAACCCTGATACCTCCGCGTCTATCTATACCAGGGTTGCCACAGAATTCAGAAAATGAAATTCCCTGATTTCTCTCGCACAGTTAGGTGAAATTCCCTGGCGATTGAAGATACGACAGGTGGCTAAGAAGACATAATTGAAAATATTTTTCAAGCAAAATTTGTTGTCCGAAACTTCAAACCCACTCTAGAGACCAAATAAAGGTGATTTAACATGTTTTCCCTCACATTTCCTAGAGTCCCTTTATATGGCAGCCGGCCTTGGCTGGCCATGGAGGCCGAAACGAGTGCACCCAAACGAACGATATCGAGGGATAAGGATCAGGAATCCTGCGATGTCTGTCACACAAAAACAACGACATCAACAAATTGATCAATTAAAAAGAAAATGAGATTGGTTTGTGAATAATTTCTTGATCTATTTTGGACCGATGGAAATAACAATTTCTTGATAAACCACAATTAGGTAATATTTTCATTGTTCTTATTCACATTCGAGGTACCGCCATCTTGGTGCACTCGTTTCGGCCTCCATGAGCGAGAACCAATCAGAATTGGATTTTTTTTTTGGGCCACTTTCAGCCCAACCAAAAGTGAGTTGTCTTAACTCTGGGTATAAAGGGACTCTAACATTTCCCGGATTTCCCTGACTTTATAAAATTCCCTGACATTTCCCGGTATTCCCTGACTGTGGGAACCAAAGACATAAAGACGGAGTGCTCGTATCTAAAAGCACGGGGAAAAAGTGAAGCCTGGTTTGGCGCTAGGTGCTTGTGAGAGTGTGTAAATGAGCGCGGAAATCCATGGCGGCAAACGGAAATTTGATTTGAACTTGTCCTCTTGATTTTTCAACATTTCTTCTTTTAAACGTGTTTTCAATGCCTGAAACGATTATATTAAGAAAGTTATGGGACTGCGTCCTAATATAATACACCTACTTTTGCTCGGTAATAGGCAGTAATCTCAGATAAAGTTAGTTTTTCTTCTGCTCATGGTGGTTCTGCCGGTTCAAACAGGCCGTAAACAGTCCTAGATGACCGTTACTCCCAAATGAAATTAATCGGTCGACGACGGACTAAAACTAACCTAAAGTTAAAAAAATATGAGTGGGTAAGTGAATTTGGGCAAAAATCAACCTAGAATACTTTGTTTCCGAAATTTTATTTAGTTCCCGCCCTACATTTGAATTTCAAACTTGTCCCGATTTCGCCGCCAATCCTCTAGCCAATAGTAGAGGTGATTGAAAAAAAGCTTCATTTTTTGCTTTTAGCGCTCCGTCTTTATGTCTTTGGTGGGAACCCTGAATGATGCGAAAACATGAATGTGATTGACGAGCTAACCTGGAAACTTTGGGTGTTGGAGGTGACGCTGTCTCTGAGGTTGTCTTTGAGACTATCCTTGCACAAGATTTCGTAGATCTTCCAGTCCTCCTCAGTGTTTCCCTCGCGAGCGGCCGTGGCTGGGCCCGCGGTCGGATTGGCGGACGTCGACGTCGCGCTGCGGCTAGGGCGGACGTTGTCCATGCCGCCCTCTCCTCCTCCTCCTCCTCCTCCTCTCTCCTGACGAGAGACCGAACATTCCTCCGTGTCCGATGTCCCTGGCCTGTTCATCTATTTCCCAGATTTCAGCTTAGGGCATCGTCACCATCGCAAACGGATCCTGGAAAGCACTGAAAGAAGCTTTGAAGCCCAATGAACCACTAGACATACACTATCCGCCTAGCTACGGCTCTTAAAATTTATTTTTGGAAGACTCAAAAAATTGTTAGAATTTACGAGGAAGAGAACCCCTTTAGAATTTTTTTTTTTTTTTTTTAAAGGGAAAAAAATGTTTAAAGACTCTTTACGAAAACGTGATTGTATGGAGTAAAATTGGACGTATTTCTATCAAACGGAACTAAGCGCCAATTTGAGTTCCTTTTGAGGAATTTAGAATCCCGGATAGCGCGTTCTGTCAAACGGACCTAAGCGCCATGGAAAATCATTGCGAGTATAGGACGGAATAAGCCGGACGCCCGATTCCGCCGCCAATCCAAGCCCCCTCTACCTTCCTCACCCTATGGCGCTTAGGTCCGTTTGATAGAAATACGTTCAATTCACGTTAAAAAAGTGTTAAAATTGAGTGTATCATTTTTAAGAGTTCTTTTCAAAAAAATCATTTTTGAAGGTTTTCGGAGATTTTTCCACTCACACAATAGAGACGATCAGTAATTTAAAGTGAAAAATCTAGAGGGCAAAACAGACAGGAGTTACTGTCACAAACATACCTACGTCCTCTCTTTCTTGCGTAGACTAAAAATCCATGATATTTTTTTAACTTCTCGATCATTCCTGATACTTGCTCTTAACTAAAAGTCTAGCAATATAACCCACCCCTGACTCCGAGGCTCTCTACGGCTGTGTTGGTAAATGTTTTAAGTCAAATGAGTACACGTTTCTCTGGAGTCTAAGTTTAAAAGTATGTTTTCATAACCTTTACTGGCGGGCGTGGATTTACCTCGTCATGCCCATTTATTGATTTTCCTTCATTTAATTTTGACGTCGAGGATTAGTTTCAGCGAAGAAACGGAATCTTTTGTGAGCGAGCGGCATTACGTGCTGAAGTTGAGCGTTCCTTCAATCCGATACCTATGCAATTTGAGCTACGAGGGACGAAGCGTTATACCTAATCTCAGAACGCAAGCTTTGTTGAAGAAGTTAGGTTCTGTTGTTCCAGCGGGGTTGACGCGCCCCTAGAGGCTTTTTATGCAATAATGCGCTCTTTCTCGCAAAAAAGGTCCAGTTACATGATCAAATTGAGCCATCAAATTGGGCCTCTCATTGGTCGCATCCTCACCTCAGGTCTTTCTCCACCAATCAGAGCTTTAGTTTGATGGCTCAATTTGATCGTGTCAAAATCCAAAATCAGAATGTGACAGGGCCGGATTTAGGATTTTTGGGTCTATAGGTTTAGTCTATGGCGCAGCCCCCCCCCCCCCCCCCCTAAAGTACATTTCCTCGGAAACGGTGGGGGGGGGGGGGGAGTTAACAAGGTGAAATTTACCAGTGGAGGAGGGAGTCCGAGGGGCCCGTCTTGATAAAATTTGAATATTTAAAAGCAATCTAAGACTTTTTTTTGCCTCACATTATGATAGAAAAGAAGAAAAAAGGGCTCCGCAACTGCGTAAATGTACCGATGACCGAAATGCGAAACCTCCCATCTCCTGCAATCTTCCTGTCATACCTTATTGTTCCCTTGGAAAACTATTCAACGCAATTTCTTGAAAACTTCCTTGATTTTTTTACCTCCGTTAGTAGCACATTCTTCATTATCAAGCAATATACTGCCATGCTAGAGAAAAACGCCGTAGAAGCCTTTAAACGTTGCCATAGTTTCCTTCAAATTTTCGGATAATTTTCCTCAAAATTTTAACTAAAATATCTGAAAATCTGTAAAAATTTCTCGGCTTGTTTCTCTTCAAAAAATTAATCTAGGAGTGGACATTTTGAAACACCGCAGTGGAGGTACGCGGTTTCGCACTGAGCAACAAGAAACAAAGGAAAAAACTGTGTCGGAAAAAAAGTAATAAGTTCATGTTAAGAGGGAGGAAAGAAAACTTTACGGCACCCCTTGTAGCGCGCGCCTAGTGCGCCTAATGCTAAATCCGGCCCTGGCAGAAAGTGAGTCTGCACCTACCTACAAATCAGCGCGAGGGACTCCGATAAAAACTGGCTCATGGAGAACGAAGAAGAGGCAAGATGACTCGCAGCGTTCCAGGCTCGGCCGAGCAGGCCTTCCGGGCTACGGAAAAACCAAACGTAAACGCGGAAAACACGGCGGAAGAAAAACCACTCGACGCATCGCACGATTGACGCTCGCAAAAGGAGGTCATCGAATCGTTACTTATTCACGATTCAATTCCTCCGGCGCGGGACGGCACGGCCGAATCGACGTGGCAACCTCGCGACGGGGAGGAGGCGGAAAAGTTGAGTCGTCGACACGCACAAGCTCCAACTTACAACCCCCGCCCCTCCCGCGGCGGGAAATCGGACGGATCGCCGGAGCGAGGAAAAACGACTCGCGATTGCATGGCAGGACGGCTTCCCGAGCGCACGTCCGATGCAGCGTTTTTCATTTTCAACTTCCGATGGGAGTGGAGGAAAGGAAGCACATGACTCCCTTCGTCGACCCTTGAAACTTCGAATGTTTTAAAAATGTTCTTGTTTAGATGGATTACATTTCGCAATAGAGAACCGCAATTTCTGGGTCATTTTAGAGACAGCATAGGATCGCATTAAGCAAAAAGGAACCAGCGCGATTACAGCGTTGTAAAAACACTGCTTCTTCACAATCGGATATGCAAAAAGGAATCAGGATCATTGCAAAAATGCTGAAATTGTGCTACTTCACCCATTTCAATATCAGGGCCGGATTAAGGGGGTGGCCACATGGGCCGCGGCCCATGGCGGCAAATTTTGCAATTTGTTTAAATGTATGTATAAAAAAAGTCGGATTCGGAAAAAAAATTATCAATGAGAAAAGAGGACAAAATTTCTCTTTCCTGAGAGTATAGTAATTTCTAATTTTATCGTTTTTCGGTGATAAAAGAGACAGCATCTTTAATTAGTAGAGTTAAGAGAGGAGCTAAACACGCAATTTGGCCTGGAGCTCAGCGCAGAGAGGATGAGGAATGATGACGAGGACTTGATATGAAGAGGACAAGCCCTTGGCACGGCGCGGCGGTCGACATGTAACACATATTAGCGCCTACAAGACTGCATAAATACTTCGCCCATTGCGTCAAACACAGTGCGGTCAGGAGCGGTTGGCGTGAAACGCGTGGCGCCTACATGACTGTAGGAATACTTCACGCATTGCGCCAAACACAGTGCGATCAGCCTGGCGCGGCGCAGCGGCGGAAGTTAAAATTATTAAACCACATTTATGTTTGTTCTTTCAATTTTTTGGTCCATTTCTTATAAATGGAGGACCTTTTTCACACAGAGATATGTTTAAGGAACTCAACTTTCGCGCAAAGTTCCGTGAAATTTTGCTAGTAGTGTTGACAGGGCTTTCGCAAAAAATGTATTCAACACGAGTAGGTAAACGCGTCATATGCACCCCTCCCCCTCCGGCACGTTCACTTGATGGTTTTTATTGATGTTTCAAAACGAATGAGAAGGGGGCGGCAAAATACAGGCGGCCCATGGGCGGCAAGTAGGTAAATCCGACCCTGCAAAACTATTGATATCCTGAAAAAATATAAAATTTACATGGTAGTTTTTGTCCTAAATTTACGGTCTCAGAGAGTAAAATAGAAACCATTTAAAGATTATCGGGTTTTCCTCCCTAGATAAAAGAAGCTGCACAATCGTAGCAATATTGTAATGCTCCTGGTTCTTTTTTGCAAAATGCAATCCAATTATCTAAAGAATCTGCCGGAATAGCAAATAGTTTTGGCTTCCCACCAAAAACTTGTTGATTTTAAATGAAAATAGTGTGCAAAGTTTTATATTGTACATATATTAGGTATTTCTAAAAGAAAAGTAGAAGTTGCACGATTTTGAAAACACTGTAATTGCGCTGGTTCCTTTTGGCTTAATGCGATCCATGTATGCCATTGGTTTCCCTAAGCAAAAAGGTGCATTTACGGAAGAGCCAGAGATGGTTCCATGGTTCCATGTTGCAAAATGTAATCCAGATGGACTCCTTAACGTTCGTGACGAACTGACCGGAGGGATAAATAATTTCGATGGCTAAATTGTGAGACCACGTATCTCCATTGCGGTGTTTCAAAAGCTATCTGCTCCTATTTTAATTTTTTGGAGGGAAACAAGTCGACTAAACTGCCGTGCCACGGAAAAACGCCGTATGAACTTTCGAGAGTTGCCGAATTTCCCCGGGTCAAACTTGTATTTTTGGGAGAGGTTAAGAAAACTTTTCCTTGAAATTTTCAGATATTTTAGTTGGAATTTTGATGAAAATAATCTGAAAAATTTGCGGGAAAATATTCACAATTTTCAAAAAAATTCGTTCTTCATTGACGGGAATATGGCAACGTGGGAACTATGGGAATATGAGGAATTATAAGGCGTTTTTCCTTAGCATGACAGTATGTAGCGTGAAAATACAAAGTACTCTGCTGATGGAGAAAAAAAATCGAGGAAGTTTTTAAAAAAGGAAGTTGACTAATTTTCCAAAGAAAAATTAAAGTATGACTGGCGGGCTGATTGTTGAAATTGATAGACGAAGCAATAGACAAAGAGGACATAGGGAGTATGGAGCGATCCTATCGGTTGAAATGCTTGGTTCCTATTGACTAAGGGAGAAAATGATGGACTAACATAAGGGTCTCTCGTGGGTTGCCATTAGTTAGTCTATTATCCACCTTCTTTGTCTATTGCAGCCACCCGCTTCCACCAATAGCATCCCTCCATAAACCTTTTGTCTTCTTTGTATATAGCTTTGTCCATCAATTTCAACAATCAACCCACGGAAATCTGCAACGTCACGAACGGAGATACGTGGTTTTGCACTTCAGCCATGGATTTGCAGATGTCTGAAATCTGATGAATTTCCAGGTCCCTTCTAATTCCTTGAGTTTTCACGGTTTTCTAGATGCGGGTAAACCCTGATTTAGTTAGTAATTGACTTGCGGCGATCCCTCCCTCTACGAAGTTCCTGATTTAGATACTCTTTCCTTCATTATTTTTTTCAAGTAAATTAAATTCTCAAACCGCCCTATCTTTGTGCAGCGACGACGTATGTATGCGATGAGCGACATATTTTATTATCATGGGCGGAAAATATTGAAGGCGCTTCGGAATTTTCCGAAGTTCCATTTTGCAAAAGTATGTGGAGATGAATCAAGGTACAGAAATGAACTGCATGATTTTGAATTAAAGTTTGCTAATTTTAATTGTACCTCAGATTCTTAAAACCGAAGTAATGTACAAATGCTAAGATAAAATTTAGTAAAGAGCTCAAAACTTCAATAAAAACTTATACAAAACAATAAAAAACTATGATGACTATTGGAAATGAAGAAAATCATTCACAGACTACATACGGTTGATGTTGAGTTGAAAATGAAAGATTACAAACTTATCAGCAAAATCTTGGGAAATCTATGCCATGAGGAATCTATTCAATCTGATGCGTAGGTAACTTCTTCAGAAATTTTGGTACGCTTGCGCCCTTTCTTCGGTGATTTAACTGGTTGGCTGAGTGTTGACTTGACTCTTTTATTCTTTCCATTCTGTTTCGCATTCCTCTTGTAGGAGCTTAGAGTCCGAAATGTTATACACTAAACGAAAAACAAAAGAGGTAGAAAATGAGATAATGAGAGAGAAAAAATTTTAAAAGGTTATTTTTGAATAATACGAATCTTTTGAATGATTTGATTGAAATGTCATGACTCACTAATAACTCGAAGGATTCAATTTAATTGGGTATTGAAATAATTTCAAACATTTAATTGTTTTTTTATTTTATTTATTTTTTTTTTTTTTTTAGAAAACCACAGAGTATTGACCATTTTATTGGTCAAAATATGCACACTGGTATACACACACATAATTTAGAGGGCTATTGAGTAATTGCAATAACTAAATAATGTAATTTACAAAAAAAAAAATTCTGTTGAGGTCTAGAGGTGACTTACTTTTTTATCCAAAACATCCATAAGATCACTTAGTTTACATTTGATGCCATGTCCTTTCAAATTATCAAAGAATTTTTCCAGCCACAGAGGTTCATACATTAGTACTTTAGTGTGTAACTGTTTATCTGCTCTAATGAATTCCAAAACAGGCTTTTCTAGTTCACCTGGAATTAAAATAAAAAATAAAAAAATTACAAAACAAAAGAGACAAAAATCAATGAAACAAGCACCTCACTAAATCGAATGTAATTGGCCATAAGGCTTTTGCAAAAATTTTGAGAAGGTGTACAAAAAAAGCCCACAAGTGAGTTTCAAGTTGATTTGAGAAAAAAAATTACATACCTTCTTTCAAAAATTTAGATTTGACAGTCTGCGTTAAGGTCTCTGGCATAGTGTCAATGCTCTCTTCTGGTAGCGTGCTGGCTTCTGAGGAAAAGCTATAAAGAGAAAGAGAAAAAGACGAATTACAGGAAACGTTGAAGCATGTATGCAAGTAACCTTTATAGCAGGTAAAACAACCTGTGAAAACTTTTAACTTTTTTTATTACCTGCTAATACTTAAATAAGAATAGCACAATATTTGAACACAATTTTGACGTAGTTTAACAGAAGCGCACCAAGTCGCATCAAATTCAATTTAAGAAAAAGGGTTCAAAATTTCATTCCTTCATAAGACACAATGTTAAGCACAAAATTTAACTACTATTTTTATTGTCAAAATATTACATTCTGATTTTCAATTTTTAAAAGGAGAAAATTTGCGAAAGGTTGAATTTAAATCAACTCTTCTGTACCATCTTAGCATGATTTGTAAATCTTTCTCGGTGATCACTTGCGGGATCAAACTGTCCAATGATCTTTATCACTAGGATGTAAAATACAAAATTTGAGACTGACAAAAATATATAAATTTGGAGAATTTGTGTACTACCTGCATTCAAACTGGTTTTCTCCATTGCTTTCTTCACTTTCAGAGTCTGAATCACCAACATGATTTGCAGAGCTGGTTGGTGGCTGGTCCTTAGTAGCACCTTCTTTCATTTCTTTGTTTTCGGTACCCGATAAAGCTTCAATTGTTGGATGCAATTCACTGTAAATATATCGAAGAAGTACTTTGCCTTTCTTTTTGCCCAAAGATGGTTTCAAACCATACTTGCTCAGTTCATTCTGAAAAAAAACCCTGATAATTAGTCTTTTGCATTGTGAGGCAAAAATAAAGAACACTAAACATGCTTGAACAATTAGCTGATACCACTTTATTAAGGAAAAATTAGTAGCTTTTTTGAGCCTAGATTGCAAAAAAAAAAGTTTGACAGGATTGATTTTAGCATACTTCATCTTTGCAGGGCTATAAAAGAGTAGATTTTTTAATGCTTGCACTTTGGTTTGTCGCAAAAGGATCAAAAATTGAATTTTTTGTAGAAGAATGCAGCCTGAGTTGCTTTACAGTTTGTTTTTCTTTTCATTTAGCTTTGGCGAATTTACAGCAGATTAAGGTGCAACTTGCAGCAACTTTGCCGCCTAAATTTGGAACGAGATCATTAAATTGTGCGTAAGTTTTTACAAAAGTTTTCCAAACTTTCCTCCGGATAAAATGACCTATTAAACTTCTAATGCTGCTCGTTCATCAGACAATACTTAATCAGAACTGTGAAAATTATGTCAAAGCTATTATGCCCAAAGAGTCTCAATAAAAAATAAGTAATATAATGATAAACTCACTTTGATTTCAATAGTCTTCATGCCACTGTAATCCAACATTGGGGTCACCTTGTTGGAGTGAATTAACTGGGGAGAAGGTGTTCTCATAACTTCTTGTCTTATGGTTTGACAAGGGGCATTGGAAGTTCCTGGAGCTTGTTGAATATTGCATTCAATTTGATTGAGTAGTGATTCATTCTCAAACAACGAATCATTAGCAAAATTTTCGCTCTGTTGTCGTCGTTTCTTCGGTGAGGCACTGCGGTCTACAACTTTGGCACTGAGTTTTACCGGAGAGGGTGATTTGGATTTCAACCTGACAGACTGATTGAAAGGTGAGCTACAGGATCTCCTTGAATTATTTAAAGGAGAGACACTAGTAGCACTTAGATTGAGATGATCTTCTGGGGAGAGAGGAATTACATCTTGACTGTTTTTGTTTGATGTGGAGCCTGATGATACAACAATTTTATCTTGACTGGCAGTTTTTGGGGAATGTCCGTCATTACTACTTTCTTTCCGACACTCAAGAGGTGACTTGGGGGGTGAGTCCTCAGCAGCAGTAAATACACCGTACCCTTCATCGAATGCTTCCCAAAATGGACTTATGTACCCGTAATTAGCCTGCGTTTCTTCTTTGCTCCCAGAATTATTATCAGCCGGACTCGGAGGAAGTGAGTGAACTTCGGCTTCACTTCTAAATCCAGGACTGCTACTTCCTCTCCTTTCATTTCCTGGAAGGATCACGGTTGAATCACTGCAATTTGAATCAGACTTATTGCATTCTTCTTCATGGCCGATATTATCAAGAATTGGAGGAGAGTTAGGATTGGATAAATTGTCCAACTGAAGAGTTCCAACAGTGGAAGCGGATGATTCCAGTGTCAAATCAACAGAGACTATCTTTTTGTCTTCAAGGCAACTTTTCTTCGATTTATCACCATGGTCTGAAATAGACGACTTCCGTTTGCGCGAGGTAAAGCCGTTACTAGATTTAGTATCCTCATCAGAAAGGTGTGGTAACTCAAATGGAGCAGAATTTTCTTTGTTGTCAAAGCAAGTGCTGTCAGTATTTTCTTGACTGTAATGTTTTTCGGTGACAGTGTCTCTCATTTCCTGAGAAGCACTTTTGACTGGAGATATGATCTCGATCTCAGTTCCTTGACTGGATTTTGTGTTTTTATCATCGCTCAACTTGAGAGGCTCTTCCTCTAAAGAATCAATTGCTTTGATATCAAATTCTAAATCAGTATCTTTGGTACCTTTTTTTTCAGAGGCATGAGAAACTATGTTGTCAATTGTTTCTTCATCACCCTGCTTTGACAAGCTTTGAATTGACTCAACTAGCCTAAGTAAATTTTCAGGATGGCTTTCCAAAAATGATGTATTCTGTGATGGAGCTTCTTCTGCACCAAAGATGTCAGGAGATAGACTTCTGTTTAGTTTGTCACTGCTTTTATTATTATTTTGAGCACTTTCTGAGGAGGCTGGAATTTGTTTGCATTCAGGATGACTTATATTTCGTGGTGATTTACTCTGGGCACTGACAAAAGGATTTAATTGCATTTTTGGTTTTGTTTGATTGCTAACGGGCAATTCAAAATACAGCGATTTGGTGATTCGTTGCTTATTCAAAGCCTCTCCTGCATAGACGGAAAGAAAACTAGGACTCTCTTCACCGAAGCACTCAGTATCATGAAGATATCTGATAAGCGCTGAATCTTCATACCTCTCTGCAAGACTACAGAGTTCTGTTTTTACGCCATCATCCAACTTTGAAAAATCTACAGTAGCACAGTACAGAAATTCTAGAAACAAATCGATGCAAGTTGTGGTAAAATCATTCCAAGCCAACAAGTGGGTTTGACTATTTGTTCTGGGATCTGTCTCTGAGATCAAATCATCGAGGACACCAGGGCAGCGCGCAAAAAAAACAAGTCTGTGAGCAGGAATTTCCTTTTCTTCTTTCGTGAGAATTTTCACATCACTAAAAGTTTTATTCCTCAGCAAATGCCGCCAGCTGGTTGATAAGTCCTGCAATGATGATGCTTGCGTTGACTGCATTCGACTGGGCTTTGAATTTGAGTTTTGCTTGTTTCCTACTTTAATGCATTCTGAATTAGAAGTAAAGGTATTTTTTGACTTCACTGAACTTGATTGAATGATAGCTGATGTTGCGTCTGAGCTCTTAGAAAAAGCTGGTTTGAAAATTTCTTCCAAATATGCATCAGACTTGATCTGGAAAGTGATAAAATAGGGAATAAATTTAGCACTTTGATCACAAAAATCCTACATGTAGGAAAGTTGTTGTACAAAAAATTTGAGACAATGGTCCTAAAAAATTGAAAGCTGCATAGTGATGTATGAAGAGAGTAGGATAAAGAAGTTATTTATGACATTATATTGATTTGAAGTAGTTCAGTGCACAAGTGTGAATAATTGATTTCGATATTCCAAAAGGAGTTACTTTCATTCTTATCAAAGTTAGTGCTAACTTTCAACAAGTGATATAGATTGCAATAAAATACCTTATAAGGTACTCTGTGACGAAAAATCTGATCTTTTTCTGTTTCTTTTGGAAGACCTATTGAACATTCTTGTATTATATTTGTACTGCAACTGAGGTTTTAAGATTTTAAGTGACATTGCAAGGGAATTTACTTACTTTTTGAAAAACCATTTAAACTGCCAAGGAGCAGAGTAATTATTTACATGCCGGTAAATTGAATGGCATAATTTGGGAACTGCCTAACTCTGTTGCAACGTTTTAGTTCTTCCTCACACATACTCTTTGATAAAAAGAAAACAAGTGAGGATATTCGTAGACTAATTATTCAATGCTTTCTATTATGGGTGGAATATGAAATTGTAAGGCACTTCTATCCAATGTAGTGGCCAATATTCTTTACAAAAAGGGACGACTAGATCATGGTGATAGAAGTGGGCAGTTTTCCAAGCAAGCTATTTGATTCAGGATCACACATAAGGGTAAGCTTTGGGTCTGCTAGATTAAAAATTGAAATTATAAAGATTTTTTTCAGAGAAGGAGAAAGAAAAACTAAAAAAACATCCAGAATTCAACATGAAAAACAAAATGAGGCTAAAGAAAAGAACTTCTAACTCACCGGAGAATCAGATTCTTGGATAGGCGCTTTGGATTTAAGGCGCTCATAAATGTTTCCAGAGCTTGGAGCTATAGAGTCAGATAGATTAGGGACATAAAATAGATCGCTCGACTCAATTTCTTCAGTGGAAAGCTGCCATAAGTTCTTGGACTGAAAAAAAAAGGAGAAAAGAGTATTTAAGTACTCTATGAAAAATTTTACAAATCATAAGCCTTTTGTTTACTTTTGTTTGCCTTTGTTTTTCAAAGGTAGGAGAAATTAATGCAACACATTCGGTAAAAGAAGAGGGGTAAAAAAAATGGGGCAGAAAATTGGGCCGAGACTCATTCAACAAAATGGCAAAGTTATATAGAGAGACTTCGAAACCACACGAAATTTTGCAAAAAACTGCAAGTGCTCTCAAAAAAGCATGACATAAAATATGCGAACATCCACAGTCTAAAAAATCGCTAAAAATCACGAAAAACTACATGCACCTGGTGAAAACTACAGGTTACTGCGTAGAAAGTGATTGGAATTTTCGAACTGAAATTATGAACTCAAACCAAACCCATTCCAGCCTTCCAGTCCGAACCTTTCCAAGGTTCGCACAGCTCAAATAATTTTAATATCTTTAATATTAACTTCCCTTGAATTCTAGCTGATGTTTAGATTATGATGTTTAGAGTAAATTTGCACATCAACAAGTGAATGCTTAATATACAGCAGAGCTCTTTAATTTCAGGAACACTAAATGCTCGCAAAAGAGGATATAATACAAATTGAATGATATCAAAAGTACTGAGTGAATGGATGAAGTATTTACTTTAGCTTTGAATTTAGACTGGATCTTGGATTTAACATTTTCTGGAGATTCAAGTCTTAAGTCCACAGGGCTATCATTTGACATTAGAATGTTGGCAACCTTGTCCGCTAAAATCCGTTCTTGATCTTCTTTACTTCTGGTGAACAGTTTTGACTGTAGCTTCTTCTTTTCACCTGCAATTGAAAGAAAAAAAGCACATGAAATTATTAGCAAGAATTTTCTATCACTACTAAGGATTAATTTTAAATTATTCAGAACTAAACGTTGCATGGATTCTTCATAGAAATTTCAAGGCCTGGAGAACACTTTAAAATTTAAAGTACATTATGGAACATGTTGCCTGATTCTCAGTGTATTTACTGCAGGAACTACGTGGTAATCGAAGGTATTTGCAATGGCATACATATTCATAAATCTTAGCACATAGAAGCGTATTTTTCTTGATGATTGGTCGAACCAAAATGGGTGGATCAAGCAGTTTTGTATTTTGTTTTGGCGCAATCATAATTTTTCGGAACAACGTCAGGACTCACCAGGCGGATAGAAGGTAGAATTTTTGCAAACGTTGGAGTCAAAATATAATCCTACAAAAAGTAGGGTTTAGAAATGACCTGATGAAGATGATGGCATCTGACCAGCATCAATTCCAAAAGTCTAACTTCAATGTTTACCAACCCGATTATGATCTTGCTGCCATTATCGCGGCATTTTGGCTTGACCGATCATCAACGAAAATACGTTTTTGGCGGTGTTTGAATGTTGATTCACAATTTCATTCACCTACTTTTAGACAATGGTAAGATTGTATCATTAAAAAAGCAAAAGAAAAATAAGAAATTAACGCTTTTCATACCAGAGACAAACTTAGAAGATTTTGGTGCAGTCTGTACAACAGCTTCTGGAAGAGAAAACTGTTCCAGGACCTTTCTTTGCTCCAAAGCCTCAGCTTCAAAACCCATTTCCATTAAGGCCTCTGATTCTTTCATTATGTTCTTCATTTTTGATTCTTGCAATGATATTGAAAGAGCAAGTGCCAGCTCCAAACTGGCATCTTTTGAACCCTGAAAGAAACAGGAAAAAACACACAGAGATCAATGATACAGAGGATATCCAAAAAGTAGTCTGGCTAGTTCTGTAATTTAAAAACTGAGCGGACAAGATGCTAAATCAATTTGAAAGATCAACTTAGAAACTGCCGATTGAGTATGAGTTCAAGATTAACTCACTCAGTTAAAAAATTTACTAAGTCATAGTTAAAGCTTGAGTAAAACAAAAATCAGGCCCCACCATCGTTTAAACGAACAATTCTACCAAGCAGTACATGGATAAATGTATAGCATCCTGATTAATTACACTGATTGTACCAAAGTGAAGGGACAACCACCCTTGAGAAGTACATACTTTAGTAGACTTGCCACCTTATTTTAATGGCTGGTGATAGTCAAAAATCGAGGTTTGGCTACAACACGAGCCTCAGTATACATTTTCAATTTTGTTTAGTGTGGCCATGGATGATATGTAACCTATATCCAACAGGCACAAAGCAAGGGTAGTAATTAGGTACTTCAGAGGGTCTGGACGGACTTGCTGTAAACGTAACTTCTAGAAAACATACATTCATCATCAATGCTTTTTTTTGAACATTGTTCTTTGAATGGAAATATATAGTATACTTTAAAATTCCTTAAAAATTAGAACAGAGGTAACAACAAAAAATAAGTCTACCTTCGATGCTGAAGTTGTTCTGCGAGTTGTTGGCCTGACCGTTTGGGAAGAGAGAAAACCAAGCGCAGCTCTTTCTTCATTTTGCTTCAGTTGCAAATCTATTGCTTTGAACAGTTGGTCCGTTGAGATACTTTGCTTAGTGGCACAAGATTTGATGTGAGGGACTAATTTTTCAAATTTCTTCAGGCATATGGGGCAACGTTTGAGTTCATTTAGTCTCTTCCACCGAACATCTTCTAAAGTATCATTGCTAGATGCAGGCTCACTCTTTTTTGGTTTTTCTTCCTTTTTAGAAGAAGGTGCTGTACTGGCCTCCTGAAAGCTATAAAGCATTAAAATGAAATACATACATTAAGCCTCTATTATAGGGCAGCCTCGTGCTCTGCGACGTCCAATCCCCATTGCCCTTTGTCCTCCCAGAGACCATCAGGCAATTGGCACCTTCTGATCTCCTCCTCCACCCCTTGTCGCCAACCTTTCACAGGACGTTCACGCCGTTGCCTTCCGTGAGGAACGCAATTGAAAACCTGCTTGGGCAACAGATTGTCTGCCATCCTTCGCACATGTCCATACCAGACTAACTGCTTGGACCTGATATCCTGCATGATGTCATTCTCCACACCCATTATCTCGCGCACTTTTACATTGCAGATATGCTCTCCTCTTGAGATGCCAGCAGACCTCCGCCAAAAGTCCATCTCAGTTGCCCTAGGCATGTCTTTGGTCCTTTTCTTCAGTTGCCAGACCTCACTCCCATAAGTTACGGTTCTCTTCACCATGACATTGTAAATTTTTCTTTCAGTCTCCTTAGAGATACTCTGGTCCCAGAGAACACCATTTAGCATCGCAATAGCTTTCCTGCCTTGTACATTCCGATCTTTGATAGCCCGATCCAAATTTCTGTCCTTAGTTAACCACACTCCTAGATATTTATACTCTTCACTGTCTTGAATTCTCCAACCATCCTCCAGTTCAATGCTTTGCTGATCCCCACCGATAAACAACTTCTCTGTCTTTACCACATTGACTTCCATCCCCCACGTACGGTATACTTCCACTAACTTGCACGTCATGTAATTTGCATCTACTTTGTCCAAATTCGTTCTTCATTAAAATGAGATCAGATGTCTAAAAAGAGGAAACCTAATATTTAACTACATTTTTTTATTTAACTGTACAATGGCCTCTTTTGGATGAAGAAAAAAAAATGAGTTTGGCTCAACTGTTGTTGAACCAATGTAATTTGACATGTGACTATTTTAGGTCCTCTAGGATTTCACTTCAAGATTTTAAATTCCTACAAATTTTACAGAAAACAATTTTTTTAACTGTGCTGCCGAGCATTTCTTTTACTGTGACTACAGCAAAAGCGACAACTTGTTCCCTTTTTTGAGTTCCCATTAAAAATGGGTTTTGTCTGTGAAATGATTAGAGACTAAAAGATCTGAAATGGCAGACATGATAACATACTTGCTACGTCACAATTCACAAAGATCTCGAAAAAATACTATCACAGAGTATAGAGGCAAATTAAAAGTGTGAAAAAGAAAAGAAAAAAATAAGTTAATAATTGTAGTTTCTCTAAAATATGAAATGACATTAAAATTGGATACCAACCATGAGATAGTTTCATCCAAATAAATGTTGCTGTTTGGTTCAAATGGATTTTTTGGATGATATTTTGGTAGGATTAAAGTATCTTCTAGGTATATGTTCACATCATGCTTCGTCTCTGGTTGCTGATCTGAACTTTGACATGAAGATGAGTCTCTTGAGCATTCATCACTGGATATTGTTGAGGAGCTCGTTGCTGTTTTGAGAGCACTTTCTTTCGGAAGATTGATTTTTTTGGATGATGAACTTGCTCGGAAAAATTCACTCAGGGAGGAACGCCTTTTACTGGAATATATTAAAAAAGATGGATACCATCAAAATTATTCTGAAAACTCCTCAATGTGATGAAATTCACAGCCCCTTGCATGATCTATATTCTAGATATCCCGAGGGATTATATGCCTGTGGACCAAAAAAAAAACCTAGGCACATGATCTCTTAGATACAATTGATCATGCAAAGTCCATGGTTCACTAACCCTTTGACTTCTACGGACGAGAATTCTCATCTTAGAACTTCAAAAATCTTCATTTTTTAAGTTATTTATTTTAAAAAAAAAATTGGGTGCTGGTGATTGACTTTTGGTGACTGATCTACACTTCTACATACTTAAGGATAAAGCACGCACAATTTCAAGCTGGTAGGTTGAGATATAAGCAAATGAAGGTAAGAAAACTAAACACAGACATTTTTCCCATTCATAGCATCAGCATGGTGTGAAAATCTAACTCAGGGGTCAAAGAGTTGATGTATTGATTTTAGAGGTGTATTAAAACATTCATGAATGTACACAATGCATCATTGCAATAATACTAACCAATTGTACTTGGTGACTCAGCTTCTTTCAAATTCAAAATGAAAGAAATTTAAGAGGTAACTATTTTTTATTGTTGAGATTTGAGACTAGATGATGGAATACACTTTTTAAATCAATGGAAAACGGTTGTAGAACATAACTGGATGGTGATATTTACCTTTGATTACTGTTGCTACTGCTCTTGTTTCCTTTTAATTTGCCTGGTTTTTGTTTAGTAGAAAGTTTGTTTGATGAAGGTTTGTCAAAGCGTTGAGAAAAGTATTCACTTGTTAAATCCATAATTCAATTTTTTCGGGGTTGGAAAGAAAAAGCAGCCTGGAATCAATTATTAAGATCAACAAGTCAATTAAATACTGAGTTAATAATTAAGAATCTAAAACTGAAAAAGAAAAGACTGTACCACAATTTAAGAATAGTTTGTTTGAGAGGGATCACTTCAGAATTGATCATTCTACTCCAGAAATTTTATTTAATGGAAAATGCTTGAAGTCAAAGCAAAAAAAGTTGACTGTTAGAATGTGACAGAAAACAGATATAAGTTGACTTAAAAAGTACAACAGACGATATGCTGTCTTTATTATTACCATTGAGAGTGAATGCAAAAATCTAGATGGTGGATCCTCCCATCTTATTTGGAAAGTCAGTTACTTACCTAACAAATAAGACGTGGACTTTGAAAATACATATTGATAATAGAATGATTGAGTGACTACATTATTCGATATAATGTTGAGCTCTTGGTTCAAACTAAAACAAACTACCACAACCTCATGTCCAAATTATTTGTGAGTTAATTGTGTTGATTCGTTACAATTTAGTCATTGACTGGTCATAAATCAATTAAGGACTTATTAAACACAAGAATTTTCAATTGTAAGAAACACTTGGACACATTTTACCTCCATGGTGCAAATCAGGTGTTCGTTAACATTTGAGTCATGATGTAGCCACTACCTAAATCAGTCTTTGACTTAAATGGCTCATAATAATAGCGTTGATAATAATGAGAAACAGGCCCAAGACTCTAGTCCTTGATTTGTCTTGGGTTCCTAATACCTACCGGGAGAGATCCTATGGGATTCAGAAAAGAAAAAAATGTTGAAAAGAGGAAATTATGTTAGGTACTAAGTAAGTAGATTACCTTGGGAGAAATTTACTTTCCAGTATCCTTTGTATAAACATTCATAGTAGCCCACTTTTCATCTGTCTCCAGATTTTCCAATATTTTTTCTCTTGTTTTGGGAAGCTCTGCAAATCCGGCAGTTAATCTGATCAATTCCTTTCTTTCCAACTCCTCAGGAGAAGCATCCAAGAAACCTTCTTTTATGCGCTGTCTCCATCTAGCTGGAGCAGGGGTCAGCCTATTGAGAGATGATTAAGAACGAGAAATAATAAAAAAAAACCATAGATTTGGTAGCAAGGTAGGATTGTCTCATAAGGTAGTCAGTTAGGATGCTCAGCCCACAAAACTGATAAAAATGGCAACAGCTCACTTCTACAGCTCTAAAATCTCCGATAGTTATTGATAAGGGTCTATTCTTTCTTGGTGCTTCTTAGCAAAACCACCAAGACCAATCTACACAGGTCAGTCATTCTCGAGGACGAGTTTTGGAACTCTACTGCGCAGTGACGTAGTATTGAGTGCCTGCAATGTATTACTTATGGGAGCACCCATTGTGACATAGCATTGAGTGCCGCCGAGTTAGGGCTGGGCGGGGGAGTGGATCTCAAGAGGATGCGCAATGACTGACCTGTGTGGATTGGTCTTGAAAACCACTCCAATAGCTTACAAATAACCAATTGGACACCCCTAAGTATATTACATCAATACTTAAAAATAAGACTTGTCGCAATTATCATCAGTCTTTGAATTCCTTTTAACCGCGGAGACTAATTCCTTTTAACCGCGGAGACTATGTTTTGATGTACTTACTTACACGTCAAGAAATACAACTCAGATAATGTGAGAGATAAAATTGAAAAATGAGCTGAAAGACGAGATAAATTGTCTATAGAGGTAGGGTGGAAAATATTACCTACAATTCTAAGATGTCATCATTTTTGTGTAATCATATTTCATGAAAAGCTCAAGTATTCCAGTAAATTAGACAGTATTGGGGAGACATCCAACTCACCTCGTACTATCTCTCCTAGATGACAGCAACACAACAAGAAGACTCAAAAAGATTTTCATAGATTCACCCATTGCCTACGAGAATAGAGAGGCCGTAACTACGATTCTGTGACGTCACGCTAGTAGATGGAACTCAGGCGCGATTTAACATGTGTTCTTATGGGAGAACGCATAACACATGTTTCTTAGGTGCTAATATCTTATCAGGGGTTGATCTGATGCAAAATTTCATAAGAACCTTTATGAAAGAAGATAAAATTTCACATCAGGAAACTGCCTAGTTCATAAATTTCGTTGTCTGATAATTGAGGAAATAAAAGCTAAACACAGCTAAATACCAAAAATTGTTACTCCTCTAGGATTCAAACGCGCCGCTCATGCAACTTCGGCCGATCGATGGCGGCTCTGATTGGTTCACACAGCGATTACCCTACTAGTTTGGCGTCAGAAAACCGAGTGGTTACAGCCTCTCCATTCTCGTAGGCAACGATTCACCGTAATGTCAAACTCCCAGCTAAATCCACTGAAGAGAAATAAAGTTTATACGTCTCAACCATGAGTGAAATCAGATGATCTACCGGCGACCCCTCGGCCATGGGCCGCAAGTCCAGTGCATGCTGGTGTACTTGCTTACAAACACTTTTACATATATGAGGCCTCATATGTAGCAATGGCGGATGTGAAAAATTACCTTTTCGAAACAGGCTTAAAAAACTGTTTTGTTCACACAAAAATATAATATGTTCGGCTCTGCTATAATGTACAGATCTCTAAGATCACATCTCAAGTATTTTTTCAAAATTTTCTTGATGCCAAAACAGTTTTTTTAATGTGTTTCAAAAAGTTAATTTTTCACATCCGCCAATGTTACATGTACTTAAGTCCTCATATCCTTAAGAAAAGTGCTAAATACCACGGGTAGATTGCCTTAAAACCGTTCCGAAAAAAAAAAACCATCCTTTTGTAGAACACAGTGCCTTCCTGGCCATGCGCATGTACCCTCAAAGATTTAGTTGATTCAGAGAGAAAACTATACAACAAATCCAACTTTAGTGATAGCTAGTTGGTATTGCAGACACTTACTCGAGAAACGCAGTGAAGGCTATGGCAAAGGCAATGAAACTAGATGCAAACACGTTCCTGTAGAAGTATGAAGGAGTCCCTCTGGTTCTTCTTGGTTTATACCTAGGTTCGTTAGGATACTGTTTCTCTGGAGGTTCCATGTAAGAAGGAGTTAAATCTTTTTGAAAAGTCTGCAAAGAACTTTCATTAGAATGTGCGTAAAGAATCTAACTTGGCTGTGAAATGACAAGAACAAACGTAAATGAATTCCAATAATGCTGATGATGGGAGGTCAGAAAAGACAAACAAGGAAACACTTGGAACTGGACGGGCAGCAATGAACAGAAAATATTTACAGTATTATCAGTAATCAGCACTGTAATTGTATGGTCTATAATATTGAGACTACTCGAATCGTGTTGCGCGAAAAGTGAGGTTAGATTGAGAAATGTACCAGCACCACTCACATCGAGACAAAACTCTCACCTCTCACCACCACTCACACGGTTCGTTCCTTGTTTCTGCCTTGTTTCCGTTTCCGGTAATCCATCCGGACCGGATACGAGGATCTCAAATGAGTCAAGCGGGGGAGGGGGTTGTCATTGTTGTGAGCTCAACTTTCTTGAACTTTTATTGTTAGCAGCAAAAAAAAAAGAACTGCTTTCGGTGAAAAATATCCATTTGCAATTTCCCGGACAGCTCAACGTGATAATACTCTCAAAAACATTCAATCAATTCATGCCATATTTTGAATAAATTGTAAAACGATGTTATAGACATTCGATGCTTTCACGTTTCATATTTTAAGGTATCGTTCGAGCAGGCCAAAATTTCCAAATAATTGACAGTTAGAATTTAACAATGATGATAACAGCGCAGCATGGATTGAACTGAGCATTTTTTGCCAATGCGGAGTGACTCTACACACGGAAAAAAATTGAATGTTGATTTAGCATTTAAACTGTTAAAAATGTGAGCGACAAGTATCCAAATGTTGATTTCACATTTTGAAAAAATTCGAACTCAACATTGAATTTGTTCATTCAACTGTGGACGGAGTTAACATAGCATTTTTTTATTGTAAAATCAGCATTTATATTTGTCGCGCATTCTTTTAACATTATAAATGCTAAAGCAACATTCCATTTTTTTCTGTAAGAGAAGTTAAGTGTTGTCACTTAATAAGTAAGTAGGTGGAGTTAAACTAAGTAACAATGGATGATCAATAATGAGACAATTTTTTGCAGTCTGCAAAGGACACTTGTTAATTCAAAAAATTGTCCGTTGAGGAGTATTTTGAAGAAATGAAACAATAATTAATTACAAAGGCAGAAACACAGCAAAAGAGTGTCGAATGCTATTCACAGCTTTAAAGGCAATTTTTTTTCAAAACATTGATGCAAATTATGGCCAGCAATTTTAACACAATCCTCTTGGGAATGCCTAATACAGTGTTCAACATCAAAAAGTGAACATCCGTGTTTTTTGACCCCCCAAAAATTTTGCCACTCTGTGCTGAACAGTTGAAATTTCCACATCTAGAATCCTTCTTAGCTGGCCCTGTCAATTAGTTAATTCGGTTGATAAAATGCAGGAAATCGACATTTAAAGCCTTGGACACGATATGGTCTGAAACATTTACAAGTTCTAGTCTTACCTATCAACAGTTCAAGTCCCAAACCACGTACCTTGTTTACGGTGTTTACAAATCTCTGCTCTCTTATTTTTTTTAAAGGAGAATGACTAAACATGATTGCTTAAGATTTTCACAAAATATTCAGCAGAGGAAAAATCACTGAAGGTTTCAAGAGTTAGACGTGGAGCTGTTTCGTACTTAAAGAATCAAGTATGGAATGTTGTAAACCAAGATACGTAATTTGGGATTGTTGTAATTAAATATTAAAGTGGATTACATAACTGTTGTCGTTTATTATTACAGGACAATAAATATGAAGAGTTGTGGGTACTCTGCTGTAGGTGCTGAGTTGAGTAAGAACTGGAGGAAAGCACAAAAAACACCGGAAATAAAAAAACTGAAATAAATAAACTCATGGGTATGTATGTAATTCAGATGAAATTTATTAATCAAATAACTAAGAAAATTAAGAACCCAGATTTCAAAATTTTAAATTCTAAGTAAGCAATAAGTAGAAAACAGTAAAAATTTTGATCTTACAAAACTACAAACAACACCAAATGTTACCCAAATATGAATAAGTAAAATGAGTACTCCAAGACAGGGCTGGATTAAGGGAGGTATAATAAAGGCTATAGCTTCGAGTAGCAAATTTCAGAAATGAGGTAACCGATTCCATTACCTTTTTTTCTTTTTTTCCAACCTTATTACGCTGTTGATCACATAATCACAAAGTAAAGACTTGGAGGTCATACCTAGTGAAATCTAAGGTATTAGCCCACAGCGGCATAATCGTGAATCCGGCCCAGTATTATGAAAATGAAATTTGAATAACGGAGAAAACTATGGTTAGGTATACTTTAATTTACGGCAACAAACAGGAGTGAAAAGTAAAAATACTCAAGAAAAAAAAATTAACAAAACCAGGAGTTTGGAATACCTAGGTGTAAAAAATGCCGAGAACTTATGAACCTAAAGCCACTATATAGAAATACTAAACTGCACCAATGGGAATAAATTTACAAAAATAAATGACAAGACAGAATTAAAACTCATTGGATTCAGCTTGATTCCTCCTGGGAAGAGTTGGTCAGTGAAGTCATGAAATTAAGGAGTCCCTACCTCCTCTTTCAAAATAGCTTGCATTGTTAACTGATCTCATATCATCCGCAAAACACCCAAACCATGTGCCTCGTTTGCAGTTTTTCAAAATCTTTGCTCCCTTTTTATTTTCTTAAAGGAGAACGACTCAACATGATTCTTTGAAATTTTAACAGAATATTTTTCGCACAGAGAAGAAAAAGCACTGAGGATTTCAAGAGTTTACGTTGAGTGATTTAGCGGGTAAAGAATAAAGTACAATAGGTAGCCAACTGAGATATGTGGTTTGGGAGTTTCACCTTTGATATGTACTTAAAATTTGTCATGGGAAACTATCACAGACTATAATATTCCATTGCACAAAAAAAGAAAATGGCCTCTATTCTGTTCCACTAAAAGGAAATACAAAGGAGAGTGTCAATCATTCTCCTCGTTTTGGGGAATACATAAGTACTGCTACAAGATTTTGCCCTCTCTTGTACAAAAGAACGTACCTCCATTGCGCTGTTTCAGTATTTTTTAAAGACATTACATTTTTTCATGGGAGAACTGTCGCATGAGTTTGAATAGTGTCCATGGATTCTTTCATACACATGTGAGAATGAACACTGAAATTATCAGACTTAGTGCCATGGTTCTCTCAAAAGAAAATAAAATGTTTGTAGAAATGGTGAGACAGTGCAGATGAGAGTCGTTCCTTCGAACAAGAAATGACAATTTGTCAAATAAGTTGTAGAGAGTTTATTAGGCATGGGTGTTTCATTTGTCTTGTCTTGATTTTAAACTTTGCAAAAAGTAAGTTTTCCTTCTTAACATGAGAATGCTTCAGATATTTTCGAAAGGCTAAAATCATGGAGTTTGGCACACAGACACGAGCTCTTCGTACAACAAATAAAGTAGCATCTACTTATTTTCCTTGCTTACCTGATGTCTTTCACAGTCATCATCAAGTATAAATACACTATCATAGCATATGCATTTGACAACTGATACACTCAAGACATTAGGTGAACAAGGAGGATAAGTATAAGTTTACCAATGATCATATCAATGGCCAGAGTGTGAAACCATTTGTCTCCTTTTGTGACACTGCAGACTTTCTGTCATACTCTATTTTTCTTTAGACAGCTAGTCAACGTAATGCCTTGAGTAACTTTCTTGATTTTTTTTCATGTTAGCAGAATATTTTGCAAACATTTCAAGCTATAAAGTTGGCTTGTTTCTCTTTGAAAAAATAAAACAAAAGGGCAAATGAAACACCGCAATGGAAATTCATGGTTTTGCACTTTGGTCATCGACAATCAATTAACTTGGCGACTTGTGTTACATTTGTGCATTGTGCACAGATGTTACCCAAATCATGAAATATCACTAATTTTTCCCATTTCTCGAAGTGGGGCTGGGAAATTTAGCAAATGGCGTCCCGCAAAATACAACGTGAACACACTTATCAATCTATATGCTTAAAAAATGAGCATATTCATGATATAGCACATCACTTCTTCAGGTCAGGATGAACAAATCATAACTAGATGAGTTGCTCATTATTTGTAACTAATTTTTATTTTACTCTCTTTGATGAAATGAGCCAAATGTGTGCTATATCACGATTTGAACAACAGCCACGCACGATTCATGCATTGGGCAAAAACCTGCCCAGTTCCTACACTGGACAACACAATCTGCACGTAACATATGTATAATGAAATCCATCAAGAAAATTACAACCTACTTAAATAAATATACTTGCATTCGATTGATGCAAAATATTTCTTAAAATAAAATGTTCCTGAAGAACTATGCTTGATTTAGGTGGAGAAACGAACAGGGGATAAATTTCAATCTTATTTTTTGGGCGGAACACCATGAGGGCTCACTACTATTTCACAAATAAAACATTGAGGTTCATGGTCATCTAGAAATTTCATTTGAGTACTTCTGAATAAAAGCTTCGGGTGAACAGTTTCTTCAACAATTTTAGAACACAAGCAATATTCTCAGTTACCTACGTTACTTAGTTCAGAATGATACTACACTCCCAACTTATAAAATAAAAATTTTTGGTTCATGAACTTATTCATTAAGTATCAAATTTCGATACAGCAGAGGACACTTTATTCTTAGAATAATCGTGGTTGAATTTAGTGGCTTAACAAAATCCTTGTACAATGAACATATATATTAGAAATGGCAATCTGATAAACTTAAAATATACCTATATTTTTTAGGAAAACCTTAGGAACCCCCTTTTTCAATTTAAAAGTTCATATATATTTTTTGAAGTCTTCATAAAGGAAATATATTTTTTTCTGTCAAAAAAATAATGTTGTCAAGGCCTCAAAGGCAATGAATGTGAATAAAATTCCTGCTAAGCTATGAAATTACAAAGGTTTTGCTGAAAGGTTCAGTCGAGTTGAATGAATACAGCAGCTTTCTTTTAACTCTAATTTTTTAAATGATTTAATTTAAGAATGTAAACTTAAAATGATTACCGAAAGTACGAACTGAGGTAAGGAACTTAAAATAAAACCTAAGTAAATCAATTTTTCTTGCAAAAATCATTCTGCCTGATTAAAATGATACTTAAAGGGGATTTATAAAAATCTTTGCTTAAAGATTGATAAAATAACAAAGAACAGGAAACAGAGGAAGATTCAACTTTTAAAAAGTTTTCCTCTCTTTACGAAACTCATGCACAGCCGCAATTTTTCACACCCAAAACATGAAAATTTTAAACCAGTTCAGGAAAAGAAAGATGTTGAACTATCCAAAGTTCATAATCGAGGAGGCTTAAGGCCAAAAGATTCAACTCAGAATGGTCAGAAAGCTAACTTTAGCTGAAACGGAGGTCCGCATTTTACACTTTCAGGGGACAGCATCAGTTTTCTAAGAGTGGAATCAAGCGCGGAAAATACATTGAAAGAAGGCAAACCTATTTCAGAGGAGGTATAAGGAATAAAGAGAACTCTTGCTTGATTTTAAAAAGCAAACAGTTACATTAAAGTACACTTTGAAGGATCAAGGTCCATAGGTAGCTGCGGTGCTGCACTCATATCGAGTGGAGCAACTCCTGATTCCGCGACTAGATCTTTAGGTGGGTGTCCAAACTTCTGAAGCTCTAGCATTAAATCTTTCAATTGTATAAATCTTTCTCTTTTCAGTTCTGATGAATCATCAGGGTTTTCCTCTTCTAATTTCTTAACAATGACTAACATCAGTTCATACTGTTTCTTATACTTATCGTAATCCTCCGGAGAGAGAGAGGATTTATTTTTTTCCAACCAATCTGGAAAAGTTTTGCATAGGGCATCCATTGATGGATGTAGGACCTCTTTTGACAGGAACATTTCCATTATGTTTTGAACGAAAGGCACGAGTGTTTCGTCCGAGTTCAAATTCATACCGTTAAACATTGATGGCAACTCATCGGGTAAAGATGACTGTAGGTTATCAATACCTTCTGATATACTACGAAGTGTTTCTGATATTGTTTCTTTAAGGTCTTCCGGGGTGGGAGAGTTATCACTGGTCTCTCCTTCCAAAAGCTGGGAAGTATTTTCTAAAATTTTCTTGAATTCTTCGGGAGCTAGAAGTTCGGACAGGTCTTTACCATCCCCCATCTTTTCTAAATATTCTTTAATTTCACCGTTGAACTTCTCACTCACATGTTCTACAAATTCATCTAACCACTTATTGTTGGTGTTAGGTCCCACGGCTCCCTCGGACGGAGCTCCCACTTTTGTGGCTGCAGGTTTTTCAAAATCACCGATAGCATCATTCAACAGATCATCAAGTTCTTGGTCCTCACCAGATCCTGAAGGTGCATTCGATTCAGGATTTCCAACTTTGATGGGGGACGCGCCCTCACTAACATTTTCAGCTTTTTTGCTGGCCATGATTTTGTTTATTTGGTTTCTTCCTAGGTTAAATACAAAGAAAGGTTGAAATTCAGAGACTTGCAATGCAGGCACACTATCAACAATTTTCAATACTGATTGTCTTTTTACACTGCAGTAAACACAATTTAATTAATATAAGTTTGATTGGCAGGGAGTTCGAGTTTTGATTCAAAATAATCAAGTTTTAACTTCTGGGACAAGGCCACCTAAACCAAGATCAGGATAGAATTCAGTGTCTTGGAACAAAGTAATTACTCTATTGTTTGCAGGATCCATAGCAGTTGCGATACATCTGTACAGGCCACGATCTATTGGTGAAACGTCAAAAAGGTGGAGAGTGCTACCTCTGGGTCTGACGTGAACGTCGTATTGATGAGGAATTCCGTGTCTTCTATACAGCGTGTTTAAGTCACGCATTCCCATATCTGCTCGTTCCCATACTATATTCTGAAAACAATACAACAGAAACGTCAGTGGAAATTACATTCAATAAGTTGTCATTATTGATATTTTTTTTCTTTTTTCATTGAATTTGCAACTTGTGATTTTAGTGTATTTTCTGAGAGCAAACAGACTTCATTCATTTTCCATCTTGTGCTTTTTCTCGAACAGTTTAGTTAGCTATTAATTGGTTGTAAAGAAAATGGTTCTCCGAAAAAATTGCCAAAGCTTTCCTCTGTATTGAGCACATTGTTTGGGAAAATGTTTATATTTTGAAAAAAAAAAAAAAAAAAAAAAAACCCAGAAAAAACCAAAAAAAACCCTAGGATTTCAATTTAATTTTTCGGATCAACCCCCCCCCCCCCCAAAAAAAAAATAAATTGTATCATATAAAAAAGTTATACCTACATCCCTCCTTTACTATTAGAGCCTCTATAAAAACTACGTTGAAAACTTGTTTTTAGTTTTTTGGATATTATTTCTACACAAAAGCTTAGAAACATTTTTATCTTTTAATACTGCTGAAGAGTAATTTTGAAATGAAGTACACAGACTTAAATTTTTGGACAAACAATTCTGATAATTAGTTTTTTCTGAAAACCATTACATTCAATCAATTCATTAGAATCCAAGATTACATTTCAAGTGATTCCCAGTTCTTGATAATTCTTTCCCTCTAATCGATTGCCTCAAAAGACCAACATAAATCATACAGGTATAATTATTTAACTTTTTATTTTATATAATTTTATTTTTTTCTTCAGAGTAAGTAAGTATAGATAGAGATTCGTTTTAGATTAAAAATTTAAAAATGAGAAGATGAGGAATAGAAATGATTTTTCCATAGCTATTATTATGTTCCTTGTAAAAAAAGGGGAAACATTTAAGAGGGGTGGGAATAGATGGTTTGTTTTTCTCTTAATTTACATTATAATTATTATAATGTTTCTGTTGCTTCTGGATACACGTTGATCAACTTTGGAACCATAAATTTATTCTGCACCTTGAAACGCTTTGTTCTAAAGTTACCAGTAGGAAAACGGGCTTACAGATAGCATAAGCATAGAATCTGGAAAATCACAATTTAGCTCTGCGCTTGTAGGGGGAAGCATGCGATAAGAGCCTTGTCCAATTCTCAGTCTTGAGGGGCGGTAATGAAGCTGCTCTGGATAGGTGGCCCAGCTGTAAAAAAATAAAATATATACATAAATATATAAATATATAAATATTTAAAAAAAAACAACAAAATTGAGTGTTTCATATACAAAATAAATTGCTAGAGAACAAGAAAATGAATTTCTGCAAGATTAATCAAGCTAGTTAAAAAGGGCACGGTCGAAACTTAACATCATGTTAATGCTGGCAATCCTTCCAGCCTACAGAAGCTAGGTCAAATGAAATAACTCTTCCCTTTTGATGTGTATCTTATCATCAATCATTATTAGTCTCTACTTTGGACCTTACAATTTATCCTTACTAATTTATCCTTGGCAAAAATGTGTTTGAGTGACTTCTTTTCTCCCACGTCCTTACGTAATCCTCAGCAGTTTTAGGGAGTTTTCCATGTTGATAAGTATTTGTGTTGAGTGTTTCGATTTCAATTTAATGGTCTGGGTATGATAAGGATTTGTATTCTATGACATGTAAAATACTTTTGCAAGCACGGAGAATTTTTCTTTTTAGTATTATTTATTAGTAGTTTGGTAGAACTAATGAGTGAAAATTATTTCAAACAAAAAGAACATCGCAAAAAAAAAAAAATGTGTGCACAGGTCACCTAGAATGATAGGACAGAAGGAAAAGAGGAAAGCTAAAATCGCTCTTGAGCTTCAAAGAATGTGTCAACCTTTCACTAATAATTGAATCTCTCAATTCGGAAACGACTCGTGTTTTTGACGATGCTCATTTTTATGCGTGGAAAACACTCCTATTCTGGCTGTTACGCAATTTTCATCTTCTCCTGAAAAATTTCATTTTTCTGGGATGGGTCATTTCCGAACTGGGATATTCCATCTTCATAAACTTTCAACTTCTCATAATAAATGAAATGTTCCGTCTCAGGAGGAAAAATCAGCGTCTTAGATGCATTTTTAGTGTAAAACAGCACAGTCCGTAAATTTCAAGTTTTAGGTTTATTTTTGTCGACGAGCTTTAAAGATAGTTGCTGTACAATTACTGTCCTCAGAAAGCAGAGGCTCTATTCTGCCGTGGTAGCGAAGAGAGCCATAACTGTCAAATTTTCGAAAACGAGTTTCCTTCAAAATTCGTCTTATCTCTTTCAGATGGTATCACTGAAATGCTAAAATAGCGAAATTCGTCTCATTTTTATACAAACGGGACATATGAGAAAGCCGTAAGTGCGCAAAAAATGACGGTAGTTTTAGACAAGACAACATCATTCCTTCGGACAGCCTGTGACAGTAACAAAGCTTTTATGTATGTACCTACAATGCCTCCCTGTCATGCAAATTTCTAACCTGAGAATGTGTTTGTTGTGTATCCAAAATGTAACCACGATTGTAGGCAGAAGACAGCCCCTACGGCCATCTTGCCTAACACTAGCCTAACATGAACATGAATATTATCCTTTTTATTTAATTGAAATAATATTTGTCGATTTTTAATAATCTAAAGAATTTCTATGAGTCTTCCGGATAGTTGATGGCAATTTGACAAGGAACGGAGGTTTTTTTTCAATAAAATTTTGCGCTCCGAAGCTACAGCGCACATTTTCTCAAAACTTCATTTTTGCACTTACGACTCTCTTCGCTATCACGGCAGGGTTACATTGATGTTCTGGGCTTTCGAATTTTCGGGCCCATTGGAATAGTGGAGCGTTTGTGGGAACGCGTAAAATGTACCACACTGCGGGCTCTGATGAGTAAAACGTCTCATACTGTCAGTTTCGAGGGGCGACTTACGTAGTGTCTGGGAAATACTGCTGCCACGCCGGGGACAAGCCGCCGATTTCGCATCTCACCAGGTTCAGCAGAAAATTCAGTAGTATGACCGAGGATTTCAGCAAACGGTGCATTGTATGTACGACTCAATCTTCAGGTATACAGCAGACGTGCGATTCAATTTTAAAAAGCTTTCAATGAAAATACTTAAAGCGTTAAATGAATCCTTCACTCTTCGGAATTTTCGGACGAAATAGAAAAAAAGCAAAAAAATAGGACCACGTTCGTTGAACCGGCGCGGAGGTCTACGCTACGCTACGCTATCACTATCGCGGGAAAATTTATAATTTTCTCCCGCTGGTGTTTTCCAAGGAAGAAAATCAAAAAATGCAAACAAGTAACACTACTAACGACTTGAATACTGTTCAAACTTAATGATCACTCGAAATCTTATCGAAAATGAAATGCGGGGTGCCTACGAAAACAGACTGGCAAGAAAGCAGTACTTCTTCAGTACATTCCCAAGAAATTCAGTACCTCCTCGACAGAAAAATTCGGTACTTTTTCGATACTTTCAATTGACGAAATTCGAAAAATTTCAATTTCTCGCTCGAATTGCGAAAAAAATGAACAAAATTCCGGATCTTTTTGCGGAATTTCCGCACTTTTTCAAAGCTTCCGGACCGCCCTTAAAAAACCAGTGCTATTTCCGAACTTGTGAACACCCTGAAAATGCGACACCTGATCCGCACTAATTTTACCCCACGACAAAACAAAACATCGCGCAAATTCACCACGGCCTCTTCCCGAACAACGATCTCATCGACACCGAAAACCGATCCACGTCCGAGCAACAACTGGAGCAGAAAAACTATGCTCGTCTTGAGAGAACACAAAAATCCAGACTCAGACTCGAACCAGGAGAACACGGCGCAAGCGGCAGGATAATCCCGATCACTGGACCAAAATATTTCCGTGCTCCTCCTCTCCGGAGCAGAGGTGCACACACACACTCGCGCACCAACACCAATACTCGCTCACGTGCAGTTAACTAAATTATACACGCAACGCGCTTTTCACGGATCACGGGCTCATCTTCGAACATTGGTCAAGGTTCCCCCCTTCCGGACTTCTGCAGAAAGAAGTGGAAGTATTTATGATAAAAGGAACTACATTCATAGGGAATGCGTGTGACATAAGTCCTTTTAGCATAAATGCGTCCAAGTGATCCTGCTTAGATCCCCTCGAGGCTTGGAACGAGCATCGTGCGATGAAGAGGCTGTCGTGCTCAGGAAGAACGCCGTATGAGCCTTCAGACGTTGCCGAATTTCCTTTGATAAAAACGGAATTTACTGGGAAAATTGTGAATATTTTCCCCGCAAAATTTTCACACAATTTCGCACGCAATGGATCTAAAGTATCTAAGTTTCGAGGAGAATTGTACCGCGTTAAACAGAAAGAAACCAAGCCACATCAGCTATTGCCTTTAATTGGCTAATTTAATATTTTACATGAAAACAGTTGTGCGGATTTTCGTGCAAATTTCAGTGAATTTTCTCCATAGTACGAGGCAAATTCCTTAACATTTTCAAAGGGATCCGCACAAACGTTTTCTCGTAAGAAATTAGATTGCTCAGGTAAAATTGGCAATAGCTGATGTGGCTTGGTTCCTTTCTGTTAAACGCGGTCCAATTAATTGTGAATAGATTTGGTCAAAAATACATGTTTTAGAAAGGAAAATTTGGCAACTCTCGCATGTACATACGGCGTTCTTCCTTCGCATGATCGCGATACGACCTGAGACCCGATCCATGTGAGGAGAGGAGATTCTACAGATCGATTTTGGCAGAAAAGGACAGGGCAGCTTCCTATTCCGCCAAGTATATACGTACAGCTACATTGATGCCACTGGTGGATTCAAAATTTTCTCGCAAGCTCACAGAATGCGCTTACCAGGGTGTCTAGTTTTTTTTCTTCATTTTGAAAAATCCTGATTTTCCTTGATTTTTGACTGCTAAATCCTGATTTCATAATTTTTCCAAATCCTGATTTTTTGCGGAGGCGAATGTGACTTAACAAAAATAGCTCGATAAAAAAAATCCGATTGGACGGCCGAATTTTCTCAAATCCTGTTTTTACGACCGATTTTTCCTCGAATCCTGATTGGCCTCAAAACCTGATAGGATCGGGAAAATCCTGATGCTAGACATCCTGTTAATAGAGAACTTGCGGGTGTCTGAAATTTTGTGAATTCCATGTTGAAAATGAAACTACTGAAAGAACTGAGCACGAGGGTATCCTTGGTTTCTAAGTTGAACGATTGAGGAGCTTGGAGGACAAGGCGCTTAGGTGCAGTTTTTGCTACTTCAAGAAATACTTCCATGTTTACAATTTTTAAGGTATTCGGAGCCTTACGGCGGCAAGAAAGTTTGCACTCACTTCCTGATGCTCTAAAGTTGGATTTTAGTTGTGAATTTTTCACAGAATAAACTTTCTTGGGTTCTGTCGGACAACTCACGGTTTTGTCGATCGATTCACGGATTTGTCGATCGAGTCATGGATCCCTTAATCGGTTCACGGGTTTCGTCGATCGATTCACGGGTTTGTCGATCGATTCACGAAGTTGTCGATCGACTCACGGAGTTGTCGATCGATTCACGGATCTCTCAATCGGCTCAAGGGGTTTCGTCGGTTGGCTCACGGGTTTTGTCGACCAATTCACTAGTTTTGTCGATCGATTCACGAGTTTTTCGATCGATTCAAGGGTTCATCGATTAAATCTGTATCGATCGAATCACGTCGATCGGTACACGTTTAAAATTTTCGATCGATTTTTAATGATTTACCCATCAAATCGGAGTCGATGGATTTACGTTTTCATTGGTTTTCATTTTTCTGTGGATTCACGTCGATCGAATCCGTACCCTCCGTCGAAGGCAGCCAGGGATACAAATATTTTCCCGGGAGAAAATGGCGAAATGCGGAGAAGAATGCGCGCGAGCGCCCAGATCTGACGTTGGTCAGGGCACGGAAAAACGATCGGTCACGGGTGATCGATAGCTCCACGATGGATTCACCGTAAACGCGGACGTCTGAAGATTCTAGAATTCTTCATCCTTCTTCAGACGATCCTGCTCACCGCGTGCTCCACCGAAATAATCCGTTGAAACATTCGCGGACGTTCCGCGAGTGGTCTACGTCGTGAAGTGTACGACGCACAAGCTCTTCATGAATCGTTGTTTCCTGCAAGAACATCGTATGAGCCTCCGGAAGTTGCCATTCTTCCTTCGATAAAATTAAATTTTTTCCAGAAACTTGGAAATGTTTTTCTCCAATTTTTCGGAGATTTGGTTCGCAATTTAATCTATAGTAACCGAAAATTGCAAGGAAACAGGGACCGCGTTCACTGGGGGGAAAAAAAACACATTGGATCTAGAGTCCAGACTCTTAAAAACATCGACAAGAAAAAATACTTTTGATTCAATCAGATTTAAGCTTAAATCAAGAACCAAGCCTCTTAATTTGAGCAGATTTCCTTTTGATTTAAGCTTAAATCTGCTTGAATCAAGAGTCCTTTTTCTTGTCAATGTTTTCAAGATTCTGCGGACTCTAGACTAGATCCAATGTGTTTTTTTCCAGTGTTTAGCAGAAAGGAACCAAGCCACATCTGCTATTGCCAAAATTACCTGGACAATTTCATTTTTTACAAGAGAACGTTTGTGCGAATTCCTTTGAAAATTTAACGGAGTTTACTTCAGACTATGCAGAAAATTCTCTTAATTTTGCATACAAATTCGCACAACAGTTTTCTTTGAAAAAATTAAGTTGCCCATTTAAAGGTAGTAGCTGACGTGGCTTGGTTTCATTCTGCCTTGATGCGGTCCAAATATGTATGACTTTCGTCAAAAATAATCATTTATCAGAGGAAATTTGGCAACGTTCGAAAGTTCCTCCGACGTTTTTCCGAAGCTCAACACTCGAAGAATTCTGGACAGGCCTGCCGCCCATTGACATGATGGACCCCAAGAGGAACTTGACGCTGCGCCTCTTGAACTCGCTCTACCCAGTAATGAAAAACTACAAGATTTTAGACGGACTATGTTCGTAACAAGGTTTAAAGAGCTAATACAGCGAACTAAAGTACATACATTCACAATCCAGGAGCTTTAAAATAAGTGAGAGAGGGTCAATTTTTACGGAACGTCCCGCAACAGGGATCAATGAGTTTCAGTTGGGTTCGGTTCGACAAAGCGCAACAAAAATTGTATTTCTCATTGTTTTTTTCTTTTTTTTTCTCTTTTTTTCTTTCAATTTGATGAAATATACTCAAAACACTCTATTTTCGTGCAACGAAGACGTACGAATGTAATGAGTGACACATTTTGTTATCACAAGTGGAAAATATTGAAGGCGCTTAAGGATTTTCAATAGCAAGATCTGGATGCAACTATTCGTGTTCTCGGGATGTCCGTATTGCATACACGAAAAATTGCAGGCGCTCTAGTTTTCTTACACACAACGTGTAACTACGGTCGTTAGTTCTCACGGCTTTCCTCTGTTGCATTGACAACCGTGTTTACCGTGAAATCCTCGAAAGTCGGATGGGTCGTTTGGGACCAACGATTGTCCAAAGGATTCACATTTTCAACCAAAAATATTTCCATGAATGCTTTGTGTTCGTGGATGTCAATCCTGCAAATCACTATCGATAAAATTTCCGCACTTTGCACCATTTTGCAACGTTGCTACGGTGTTACACGACTCGTCTGAATTTCTAGGATATCATGGTAAACACGATTGTGGATGCAACGCAGGAAACCTTTGAGAACTAACAGCCGCAGCTAAACGCTGTGCTTAAGAAAATCAGAGCGCCTGCAATTTTTGTGTATGCAACACGGACATCCTGAGAACACGAATAGTTGTATCCTGACCTAGCCATTGAAAGAGGCGGAGCGCCTTCAACTTTTTCAGCTTGTGCTAACCAAATGTGTCGCTCACCGCGATCACACTTCGTTGCTGCACAAATATACGGCGGTTTGAGTATTCAATTAAATTAAGAACAAATAAAATAAACAATGAGTAAATTAATAATAATAATAATAAAGGTAAAATGGAGACTATGTATGCGGTAATCACTTGCCGGACTTAATCGACAGTTATACAAAAACCGTCAATTGAATATTCTCATTGAGTTTACTTGGTTTGTAAAAATCGTATCCTAATGATTGCTTAATATCTTCCATGTGTGGCAGCGTTGTGAAATAGTGCAATTTGAGGACCGATGCAGGTAGTGATAAGCGGAATCACAACCTATTGTGATTATCGCAGCTAGTAGGGTGACAAGTTTTTCATGTATTTACTTAAAAATTCTCAGACATTTCTGATATTTGACCGTTTCTTTTTGAGAGAAACAAAAGTCATGTTCAGTGAAGAAAGCAATTAGTGCCTTTTGTCGCCCACATGTACGATTAGCGCTGAATTTTGACGCAATTTTAAATATAGACTAATGTGTGCGTGACTGTTACCATTTGACAAGTACAACAGGATTTTGCAATATTTTTCAGCTATTGTAACGAACGGGTGGATAAAAATGTGCTGAACGGTCGCCACATAATAAAAACTTCGATCTTTCTACGTACATTGATTTGAGGGAAAAGTACGAGACTCGTCTAGCTTGCGTTCTGATCGCCAAAAACACTAAAAGCAAAACCATTTAGGTACACTAACGAGGCATAAGCATGAAACCCAAGCGTTTCATTTCGGTTTCGATTAGATTCGCACGTAATGGGATCACGAGGTTAAACATAATATTTCCTTTTCCTCCGTGGACCTGTCACATTGTCATCGCGAACACCGTGCCTCCCACATCAAAACTTCTGTTTATTTTTCCAGTAAACAATCATTTTCATAAAGTCGGACGGAATTGAAAAATGAGAAGAAATAAAAAATTCACGGTGCGAAGAGTGTTACGAAATATTCGTAGAGGTTTATTGTTTTACTGCCAGAACTGTTCTATTCACGGTTTGAAATATATCGCAGAGCCGGACAGGCACTGGGCAGAAAGGTGACACATCAATTTAATTATTTGTTACCTATTTCCTTTTCCATTTTAGATGCGACCTATGGACCGTCATGAGTTTTGGGGGAATATCTTCATACTTGTAGGATATCCATCATATTTGATCACGAGGCCAAAAGTTCTACCTATTACTATGTTTCGTAACTAGCTTAATTCTGGCCCTAAGAGAGTACCACTTTGTTTGTGCCATGCGAGATGATTCTCGAGATTTTTAACACTGACGCGTTTAGAGTCCCGAATATTTCCATACCTCAATTTTGGACATATAGTATCCAGCGTTCAACATTTAAAACGCCCAAAACATCGACGGTGAAAGTCTCGATCCGCGTATCTCAGTTAGCAACGTTGCAGACTTTCCTCATACTTTATTTTCTATGAGGGAAAACACTCTACGTCAATTCTCAAAAAAATCAGTGATTCTTTTTCACGACACGAAGAAAATTCAGTGAAAACTACAATGAAAGCGGAGATTTTCAATTTCCGCAAACGAGTTATGTGGTCGTTCGGACTTTCCACCGACGTTTTTTTAAATAACTAATTTATTAAAGGAGAATAATCCTGGCAGAGGACTCAGAATTTTGATCTTAAAATGGTGAGTACTTCTGCTCGATGGTGCTCGACTGAAGGGAGGTTTAAATGGAAATTGGTTTCTGTTGAGAACTCACGGAACGGAATTGAATACGATCGCGACCTTGTCCCTTGATGAGTTTTAATCCGTCATTCTCGCTGTTCACAAAGGTATTCAAAGCGAAGCTGATACCATCCTCCGAGGATAATTATGTGATTTCCGACTAATTATTGAGTGAAAAAATAAATAGCCGATACGTGTTGGTGCAAATGCTATTACCAACAGTGAGCTTTAATTGGACCGCGTTTAGCAGAAAGGAACCAAGCCACATCAGCTATTGTCAAATTTCATTGGGCAATTTAATTTTTTACAAGAGAACGTTTGTGCAGATTTTCTTGCAAATTTTCAGGAATTTGCGTCGTACCTACTATGCGGAAAATTCACTGTTTCGTCGCCACATTATTTTCAGTCCTATTTTCCTTTTTTTGTTTTTACCGAAAAAAACCACGGTCCCTGATTCTAAATCGTAGTTATCAGGATAGTTATTTTGGTTTTTAATGGGGAAAATTAGAAGGGAGTCATAAATAATAACGCGTCGTCTCAATGTCGCAGCAATCTTAGCGTTCGACCCGCCGGCGAGGGTCGGCAGGGCGGTGAAGACATCTTCGCAGTTTGACGCGCCTTCAATCCGGCGGAGCTGCAACATGCTTACAGCCGTGGTCAAATAGTTGTATGTCACGCCTGCCGTAAACGAACTCAAATATCGATGCTTTCTCGCGAAAAGGAGCTTACTTACATTGATTGCAAGGTTGCAAACCACAGTTAATGCTTCAAATTCAATCAATATTTTTTAAAAGATACGCACAGTTTTGCTGACAAATTTTCAGATATTTTTCGAACGATTTTAATTGAAATCACGGGTTTGCACAAAAATCTGCACAAACGTTTTCGTGTAAGAAATTAAATTGCCTAATTAAATTTGGTGACAGTTCATGTGACTTGGTTTCTTTCTGTTTGACGCGGTCCAATTGAGGATAGCTAAGCTTATCGATAAGTGCTGATTTTACGTAAAAATCAACATAATTTACGACAAATGTGTCGATGACCAAAGTGCGAAACTACGTAACTCCGTTTATGACGCTGCTGGTTGCCTATCCTATTTTAATTTTATATGGGCAAATTAGCCAACTTAATTTCTTGAAAACTTCCTTGATTGTTTTCCTCTACCAGCAGAATACGGTAGAGATATCAAGCTATATAGTTGACTTGCTTCTCTTTGAGAGAACGAAATACGAACAGAATTTTTAAAATACTGCAATAGAGATACGTGGTTTTGCAATTTACACATCGATGTCAAATCGTCGTTTTCTGATCAAAAGAACGTAACCGCACTGTCAAAATCGACTCAAACAATTCCATTTTCAACCAGAATGTACGTATGCAGTTTCTGTCCAACATTTCCCTAATCTTGGCGCGAGATCAAAGGAAAAATTAGTGAAATTTCAAATTGGAAGTGCCCAAGATTGACTTTTTTCTACAGTCATTTGTGAATGAATAAACATTAGAGCATTAACAAAACTTCGCAACTGCGCGGAGAAAAAAGTATTTAATATTTATTTTTTGGCGTACAAAAATATTCTTGCAATTTACGTTTCCCTGGCGTATCTTTGTTTGTCATTCTATGGCCAAAGTACGAAACTACGAACCCCCGTTTGCAATGTTGCAGGCAGGCTTCCTGTCATACTTTAGTGCCTCCTTGGAAAAGAAGTCAACTTCATCTCTCGAAAACTTCCTGGATTTTTCTCCAATGTTAGCAGAATATTCTACAGAAATTTCAATCAAGTTGGCTTGTTTCTTTTCAAAAAATAAACTAAAAGTGGACATTTTGAAACACTGCAATGGAGATAAGTTGTTTTTGCACTTCGGTCATCGATATCAATTTGAGAGCTGCACGTGGTTAAGGTACTTGTGAAGCAGTGTTCTCGTGGGAGGGCTCAGAAAATTGGTTTTAAGTAAATTTCTCCTTCTTTTATAATTGATTGCGTTTTCATTTCAGGCTTTTCTGGATCATCGTTTGTCTTTTTTCAATATACAGTACAAGGAATTTGGTCATATCTAACTGGAGAGCTTTTCAAAATAATGCTGTCAGCTTTGTGTCAGATACAAGTTACTTGACTTGGGACACCGACTTTGTCACTGTATCTGTGTGTGAGGCAGAATCTCTGGATAAGATAGACATGGAGGGCCAACGGTAAAATTCTCAGAACTCACCAAAACTGAAAAAGCTTAAAATTTGAATTCTAACAAACTTATTCCTTTCTCTAAAGTGAAATAGATTTGTGAGACATGTTACAAGGAGCTTTACTGTAAAAATCTGAAAACTGCTTAACTAAACACAACGTGGGTAAATTTCAAACCATTATTACAACGTCGGTAAATTTCAAACCATTATTTATGTATAACTGACCAACACTACCAATTTGCTGAGATTTTCTACTGATTCATACTGACAGGATATTGAATGTTAGGTGTTGAAAACATGGAGAAAGTGCAGGACTCAGTGAGTGAGGACTTTTACTCATTAGAACAGGGTTGGTTGTTCAGGAATAGAAACTACGCTAGGGTTCATTCGTAGTTTGAGTATAAACTCAATACCTATTTGGTTTATTCCTGCACGTGTCACAGCGATGGACAGTGATCCCAAGCATACAGATATATTCATACTGTGCAAAATTTCCTTACACCTGTACAGACGACGTAAGGACCAAAAGTATAAGAGAAAATAGTTTCCTAGTCTTATAAAAGCCATTGATAAGACTTAGGTACTTCATACCGAGTCGAGGGAACAAAAACAACAGAAAGAACCCAGACCGTAAAAGCTTGAAATCGTAATTTTCTTGAGCTCCTGTACAAATGCTTGCCACTATCCTCTTAAAAGTCAAAGGATCTATCGAAGGCGTAAGTCCGCAAATCACATTTCTTGCTTGCGGTGTCTAAAATTCTCCGCCTCTAAGTTATTCTATTTATCGAGAACAAAATAGACATCATTCCTTGCAGTTTATTCATAATTTTCTTCACACTGAGAAGAAAAATCACGGCAGTTTTAAAGAATTGCCGTTGAGTAGTTTTCCGTTTAAAAAATAAAGTATGACAGGAAGTCTGCGACGTTGCAAACCGAGTTATGTGATTGCTGGCTTACACCGTCAATATGAGGGTTTCCACTGCTTTGGATAAGCGCAAAGTCATACGGTGTAGACATGAATACCCTTCAGACAGAGACGTTCTGATAAGACGTTATTGTCATTCTAATCTTTTGAAGGGTTGGGCAAGATTTCCTGAAAATTGTTGAAGGGTGATCCTCTAATAATTACATTGCTTTGTATAGTTCTACGAGGATAGATGAACTTGCGTATGAGAACCTTCTCTGATAACGGATAGAGGTACAGAGTTGTAGGTTAGCTTCACGGTGATGCAATTTATTTCCGTTCGATTCATGGAGGAACACACATTTCTTGAAAATGAAACATACAGGAAATATATAAATCTAAACTACGTACCAGCCAGCCTTCGGAGGGAAAACTAGAGGAGTAGTAAGCTTTACAATATCACCGACTGATTTCACAACCACACACGGAATTATCAAAAACAAAACACGTCTTTTGTCGACTGTCGTGTCTTTATCTCGGTGACGTCATGTCAATGGCGATAGTGGCGCTGCGGACGTTTAGAGAAATGCATTAAAGCGCCAAATTTAATTTTGCGGGCTTTTTCCAATTGAGCGCTTGCTTGCTTCTCAGGTTGTTTGGTGAGACACGCAACACATACTTGGATGGACTCATCTCTAGTCTTGCATTCTTTGATGGTAATTGTCGCACTTGCATATCTCAATGCTCCACGGGAGAGTTGAATTGTTCAATTATCGACATTGAAACAATTGTGAAAGAGGTGAATCTCTTACATCCGTTACTTTATACAGTCAGACATCAGTGTAAATGGACTGAGTTAAGCAGAAAGGAACCAACCCACATTTTGGAAAAAATTGAGTTATGAGTGGTTTTGAACTTAACCACTGCTCTACTATTTATCGCCGAAAATTCAAAGTTTTTGTTGGAGCAAATTTTGCAGAAATTGAACTTGAAGTTTATCTTTTACATTGAGTCTTATGCAGGAGCCAAACTTTAAACCTCTTTATCTCGGTTCGATCCCGATGTGACTTGGTTCCTTTCTGTTTAACTCCGATCAAATGTTACTGCATAGTGTTTGGCATGAGTACATTATTATCAATGAGCTTAAATTATTAGCTTGAATTATCTTCTAGCTGCATTGTATTAAAATGTAAGTTACTGAAAAGCATAGTTTCTGTTAAAAACCTGTAATTCTTTTAAAAAAAGCTGTCGCAAATTGTGATGGATTCTGGCAAACGGGCTCTTGCTTACCTGTGGAGAATATAATATTACAAAATGCGAAACTAATTTTTGCCATGCTATGGAAGAGCGTTGTATGAGTCGACAGATGTTGCCAAATTTCCTTTGGCAAGTCACACATTTTCGGGAAAAATAACTGTTTTCCTTCCGATTTTCCGAAAAAGTTTTGTTCGTGATTTGATCTAAAGTGTTCAAAAATTTCGACGAAACATATTTATAACTTTTTTATATTATGATTCTTTCTTGAGTAGAAATTTTGCAACATTTGAACGCTCATGCGGCGTTTTTCCCTGGCACGAAAAAATACCACCTATTGTAGAGGGATCACTCTCAAAATTTCGAAGTCATTGTAAGTCATATCCCATGACCAAAATTTAAATAACTATCTCATTCATCTACGAATTTTCAGGTAAGAACCCCCTGTGAAAAACTGATGGGCAATTGTTTTTGGAGTGGAACAGAGTTTGAATGCTGTGATGAATTTCTACCGCTTCAAACAGAGTTGGGTACATGCTTCACAATCAACTCTATACACACCAATAGGTGAGTTTATATATGTTATCGTCATTTTTTATGTGAATATTTGGATATGCTGGTTGGTGCTATAAACACCAGGGCCGGATTAAGGGGGTGGCGGCAAATTTTGCAATTTTTTTAAATGCAGGTACAAAAAAATCGGATTCAGAAAAAAATTACAAACAAGAAAAGTTGACAAAATCTCTCATTTCCTGAGAGTTCATTAATTTCTAATTTTGTCGTATTTTGGTGATACAAAAGACTGCGCACCTTTAATTAGTTGAGTTAAGAGAGAAACCAAACACGTAATTTGGCCTGGAGCGGCGCGGCGCAAAGAGAAATGATGACGAGGACTTGAGATGAAAAGGAGAAGCCCCCGACGCGGCGGTTGGCATGTAACACATATTAGCGCCTACGAGACTGCATGAATACTTCACGCATTGCGTCAAACACAGTACGGTCAACAGCGGTCGGCGCGGCGTGAAACGCACAGTGCCTACAAGACTACATGAATACTTCACGCATTGCGCCAAACACAGTGTGGTTAGCGCGGCACGGTGGCGGAAGTTAAAATGATTAAATCACATTTATGTTTGCTCTATCTTAATTTTTTAGTTCATTTCTTACAAATGAAAGGCCTCGTCCCCACAGAGATAGGTTTCCGGAACTGAACTTTCGCGCGAAGTTCCTTGAACTTTTGCTAGTAGTGTTGACAGCTAGGGCTTAGGCAAAAAATGTGTCCAACACGAGTGAACGCGTTTGATCACCCTTCTCCCTCCGGCACGTTCGTTTGATGGTTTTTATTGATGTTTCAAAATGAATGAGAAGAGGGCGGCAAAATATAGGCGGCCCATGGGCGGCAAGTAGGTAAATCCGGCCATGATAAACACTAGAAATAAGTATGTCAATTCGACTAACGTTCTGAAGCACTAGAAATTTTGCCATGCTCGTTATCAGCCTGTTTTAGATGCTTAAACTGGAGGTTCAGTCTGCGGGCAGCGATGCGGGTGTTAACTGTAGAACTTCAAAGGTTCGCGGGCTGATGACCTTTGAGCTAAAACTCTGATAACAACAATTACCGAAACATACGGCTTTCCTTCATTTTTTTTTCTTTTTTCTTTTTTTTTTGAAAATTGTATAGTGTTTTACTGTTTTTGTAAATGTTCAACAGTCAACACCCGCATCGATGCTCCTAGACTGAACCTCCAGTTTGAGCGTCTGGGACGGGCTATTCATTTGATGTACTTCGAATTTAGGTAGTCGATACAGTAACAGAGATAGTTTAAAACTACTACTAAACTGTGCTACTAATTTAACTGTACTAATTAAACTGTGCGGACAGAACGGCCGTTCTGTCTGCAGCTACCTCTGCGGAAAGTTATCTATTTTAGGAAAAAGTATGCACATATTTTTAAATAATTTTTCCTAAAATAAATGACTTTCCGTAATAGGGGAAAACCCTCGGATAATGAGAATCGAATTTTTTTTCAAAATTTCGCATTGTTTTGAAAATCTAAGAGATTCATCGTAAGGGGTATTCGACATCTCTCGATTAAGCTTTCGAAGTCTGCATCTCCAATGACCAACCGCGCAACGTGTGTTCACCGCGCACCAAATGTTTTTTCATTTTGCACTATGGTTTGAGTGATAAAATGAGTCATAAAACATAAAAAAAAAATATTTTAGTATTAGATAGGTGTCAATAAAGTCTGTGCGGTTCAATTAAATTCCAGACCCAAAGGCACAAAGCTCAAGATGACATCGAACCGGACAAAAGGACCCGGCAAGCTAACTTTCGAAGTTTCAGAGGCTGCAAACGTAAGATTCTTATTATACAACTTATGTGATGTGTGGGAGCAGGTGATAGACCGGAGACGAAGAGATGGCAAAATAAACAGGGTTTATTGAGACAATCACAAAATGGATCGGGACAACCGACAGGGACACGATGGGTTAAAGTCTAAAAGATTGACATGACCAACGTTTGTCAAAGTGAAATCGGCTAATTGTAACTCTGCTGTGGTGTTTAATTGTGCCTTAAGGACACGATTATTGAATGTAATTGTGCAATAATTTGATCCAAACAAAAAGATTCCTTTCAAAGACCGTTGTTCTACAAACCCATTGCAAGTGAAAATTAAATTTTGATTGATAGGGAAACAAAGTAAGCATTGATTAGTTTCTGGCAGTACTTCAACGTGATTGGAGTTAAGCTGGACTTGAACTTTTCGACACTGTTCCGTGTTGCGGTTTAATGCTGAGACACTGCATGAGGAAGGGTCCAATGGCGAGGCAGTGGAGCATTGGTAGAAAGCTCCCAATTTTTGGCATGGTGATGTCACTGCCAGGGCGACTTCTGTTCCTAGAAGAACATGGCGGACCTCTGGTAAAACAGACACATACTCATGTGACCCAACAAGGGAGGGGATGGACAAAAGGTGGAAAAGAGTAAAAGTGGTTTCATAATTAATAGGAACGTCAATATAATATACAATTTTATCGGATGTTTTAGCGCAAGCGACTTTTAAGAATTTTGTTAAGTCCGAAAAAGAGAGTTGCGTCAAATTACCAGGAATAGACTCATTGTAATATTGTTTAATAGTTTTAATTTCAGAATGAATGTCGTCAACAGAAATGACGGAGGGGTGTAGTGTCCCAGATGCGCAAAACAGAATGGAATTTTCAATTTCTGTCAAAATATGTAGAAAAGTTAAACTATAGCTTAAAATGTATTCAATTGTTTCGATAGTGTGAAAGTGCGTATCGTAAGATATGGAATTATTCGTCATAGACTTAGTTACTAAAGCTATTTTATCTCGCAAAATCCGTTCGTTCGATTCAAGGCGTCTCTCATTTTCTTTATTCTTATTAAAAATAGCAGAAGTTAAACTGTATTCTTGCTGAACTTGTGTTGCAACGGAAATTTGGCTTTTATCCAGATTCCTCAACAGAGCATCGTAACGCTCCTTGTCTGTATCATTTTTTTTTATTTTTATTTTATTACATATCGACTTCTTTATACAGAAATATGATACATTGTTTAGCATTAATTAGTGATTAGCTTTTATCGACTAAAAATATTTACAATTGTACAGTCTTTTTTCAGTCTTTTACAGTCTGTATCATCGAGGTTGCCGGTCAACCACGATAACCCACAACCTAAGAAATTAGCGATGCCTCGAGCATATCTGGATGGACCGAGAAAACGAGTCTTTTCAAGAATTTTTTCCCCAACAGTTTTGATTAGCGTGAGTGACGGTGCATACGTGTCGTTGGACAGCGCAACTTTCGAAATGGATCCGAGAGAATCCTGAATCAAACGAAGTTCTTTGTTTATGATAGATGTATCATAATAGTGTACAAAAGTGTGATAACTGCGTATCGTAGTTTTGCTGGCCCCAATTTGATTGGCAGAACGCCTGCATTTTGTGATATATCCGTAAGGCCATTAAGAGCCAGGATGCCAGGACAGCAAATCCTGAAACAGTATACGATATCTAAGAAGTACCTAAGTATTAATTATAATCTAAAGATAAAGGCTACTATGTTAACAAATTAATTATCTTAATAACAATCGGAGGGCGGCCTACGAACTGTATCGCCTAGAAATGGAAACTCAGGATGAGAAAAATTATCCTCTTTAAAGGGAAAGGGATAAACATCCAGCACCATTTAGCAATATTGCTTATAACAGAATGAGCATCTCTGTGGGTCTGAATGAGCAAGAGGGAGGAGAGAATGGCTGTGGAAACAAAGCCATTTCGGAAGAGTCCCTAGCAAAAATTGTGCCTCAATTGTTTCGTAGCAAAATTTACAATTATACAGGTCGTAACAAGCCCCAAATTTACCATCAGGGTGATGGGAGTACCAAGTGACTGGAACGAATTTATTATGATTAGGGTCGAAAGACATATTTTCCGCGATTAAAAAGTCACTAGCAGCTCGGGGTGAAAATCTATAAAGGGAAAGAGGGATTTCTTCGGGTTGTTTCCTGGGGTGTGAGAACGAATTTTGTAGCTCTAAGAATTTCCTTTTTTCCTCTGCTTGGATCTCAATTTGGGACAGTTCGTATGCTTTCCAAGCCGAAGCCCAATCTATCGGTATAAAAACTTCATCATCGGGCTCTAACGCCGGACAATAATCGTGTAATACAACGTGATTCATTATGAAGTTATATAAGGTGAGTTTAAAAAGCAAAAAGAGTATAAACTTATAACTAAATATTCTGTAGCTGGAACCGGATCAATTAGGCCAAGAAAACGACGACGAAATTCATTGCACAGCACGGAAGAGGAACAGAACTGGATCACAGGTGAATTGAATAATTGCAGCAACGATTGGCTTTAAAGCTCGGATGAGTTGCGGCGAAAAAGGATCGGCTGCGGCGGCAGGCGAAAAAAAGTGCGGTAAAACGCGCAAAAGTGTTGACCGAATATAGGGTAAAACACGATAAGTTCGAAGACCGGACTGCGCCACTTATGTGATGTGTGGGAGCAGGTGATAGACCGGAGACGAAGAGATGGCAAAATAAACAGGGTTTATTGAGACAATCACAAAATGGATCGGGACAACCGACAGGGACACGATGGGTGGCTGAAACGGTAGACGAATGCCTAGCCGTGGCTCCGAGCTTTTATAGCCGGAGGAAATACGGGGGCGTCGCAGAAGGCGAGCACGCGCCGAACCAAAAAGGGACAGGTCAACATCTTGGCGACTTGCCTGAAAGTCAAGCACAAGGCTGACAAAAATGCTGAGTGTCTCAAGTCGAGAAGCGGCATGTGACCTAAATAGAGCATAGAGCATAGAGGAGAATATTGTAACTTATACTTGTTGGCTTACACTTCGTTTTGGGAAAATAATCAGTATCTGCGATTTACATCTGATTTAGATAGATCCCAAGGGCGTAGCCAGCATATTATACAGATACGCCTCTTCGCGCCCTGGTAAAAATTGGCAGTAGAATCCGTGTTCCAAAATACCATAGACCTACAGCCGACTGTAAGATTTCCAATAGCTTCTATAGCCGGCAACACCATTTCTTATAGCCTTTTATAGCCGATGGCGATTAGCCTGACGATAAAGTGTATGCTATCCGTTACTAATTACGGATGCCAGGACTTAGTGAGTTTTTGGACTACCGCTCTCTTTTTGGGCTGTAGTATCTTGATTTATTTTGCGAGGGAAGTTCCGTACTTTTGAAGGATGCCTGCCATTCCTAACATTTTCCATTTTGGAGCGCCTTCAATTTCGTACGATACTGTGCAATACCTCTGGTGTGAAATAGTTGCTTCAAGCGCCGTGGTACGCTGCAGCGCAGCGCGGTGGGCGGGCAGCCAGCGCAAAACGCGCACTGGCGCCTACAAACCTAACAGGGATACTTCACGCATTGCGCAGTGCGTGCAGTATCCCTGTTAGGTTTGTAGGCGCCGCTCCGCTTTGTGTCAGGCTCTAATATTTAATCTCGTGGAGTCAGCGTTGTTCAACTCATGACTTTGAAATGTTTGCACACTCTGTATGGATTATTCTCATTTTAATTGATGAAGACAAATATATAGTAAAGGAAAATATAATGTGCGTTTCGTAAATATTATGGTGATTCAGTACAAACTTGCGGATTTACAAAGCACACGAATTTCTACACAATTTCTTATAACCTTTTATAGCCGATGGCGAAAAAGCAACAGCCAGGCGATAAAGTGTAAAGCCCGGCGACAGGAACTATAGCCCGGCTGTTTAATTTTTTGTCGCTTCCTGTAGTCCGGCCGTATGATTTATTCCACTTTTCGACAGCTAGCTATATAATTTTCTATCGCCTTCGTCAGTCGGCTATAAGAACTCTATGGTATTTTGAAACGCAGCTCCTATCGCCAATTTTTACCAGGGCGCCTTATTGGTGACCGAAATACACATAATATTGAAATATGAAAAGCTGAAGAGGGAAAAACACGGAGGTTAGTGAGTGGGAAAAAAGGCTACAACGAATTGATCAATTGATCAAATATGAACCATTTTCATGTATTCACCATAAAAACGAATACAACCTGCATTTAAAATCACATGCGCACACCTGTTTTGGGACGGATGTGTTGCTCCTTAAAAAATTTCCGAGCCGACATTTTTTTTTATTAAATTGTGACACATACAAAAAAAAGAAGAATAATAATATACCGGGGAGCTTTTCAGCAGGCTATACTCCCTGATCGCTTCGCGATCCAGCGCTCCGAGGCGCTTCGCGCTTCAAACGTTACGCGTTGCGTTACCCTTGTGATTGTAAATAAATTATAGAATAAGATAGAATAAGAATAAGATTTTATTCCATTTTATTGAAAAACTGTCGTGTTTTACAAGATTTTTCTGCACGGGCGAGACGACGTGCCGTTTATAAATCATCCTCAAGAGGCCAAAGTTTCGATTGACTGGGGAAGCGTTTTGAGGATATCATTTCAAGTACGTAAGTAATCGACCAATTTATGTGTGTAAGGTAATTTGCAGATGTATGAATCATCAAATGGACGTATTCATGCGAAAAGGAACTACATAATGTTTTATTTTTTTTATTATTATTATTTTTTTTTTTAAGTATTTATTAGCACGTCTTAGGAAATACAAATTTAGCACTTTTAACTTCGGAATATGAAACATATATATCTTAGAGATAGCTAACGTAATGTGCAAAGCGTTTGCGTGCAACATAGTTCCTTTTAGCATAAATACGTCCAAATTTATAATTTATCGAATTATTTAAACGATATAAAATACGATTAGCTCTAGGAGCAAGAATAGTAGCTTTTATACCTAGTAATATATCGATGGTGAAACTATCAGACCACGCATCTGGTTTGCGACGTTTCAGACTACCTATCCGCACAACTTTATTTTTAAATGGGGAACTATACTCAACGTCAATTCTTGAAAACTTCCGTGATTTTTCCTCTCTGCATGATGAAAAATCTGTGAAAACTTCGCGGAATTATAATGATTTGTTCTCTATCAAAAAAATAAAATGGGTGCGAAGATTTTTACACACGGCAACCGAGATACGTGATCTGAAAGTTCCACCGTCAATATATGTAATAGTAGCTATAATAGTAGATAGTAGATAATACTAAACAGTAGATATAATAGTAGCTTCTGGTAAAAAATACGGCACAATATATATTTTTCTACGCAATCATTCTTCCTCTTATTGCCTTATTAGTACGTGTCTCCCATTCTGTAAAGTTCGCCTTCAATTACAGTGACGGCAATATGAGCGACTTGAGAGCACGGATACATGCGTACAATCGATTTGCCGCCTCTGCACAGTCTTCGCAAGAAACACAGAAAAAATATCATGCCTTTTTGACTCTCTCTCAACTCCAATTAATCACGGCTGTTTTTTTATATTGTCAGTTTGTTGTTCTTTTTTTCTTTTTCATTTATATTTTTTTGTTTTTTATTCAGTGTGAGTAAATAGTCTGAAGACAGCACGCAAAGTGCTCAAGTAAACGTAGAGAAAAATTAACACAAGATTTTGATTAATACGGGGAGTAAAACACAATATGACTCCAGCCTTCGGTTGACAGTTTCAAGAGAAAATTCCAGCTAGTAATCTTGAAGGAATATAATAAAAAACGAGTGAATGCTAACGTCGCAATCGGAGCAATGCATTTACCCAGTCTCTTCATTGTTCTCTGCGCTGAATTTGCCGCAAACTGCGCCAAAGTCAACATAAGATTTGTGTTGGTTTGTGTTTCACTTCCTACATGAACCAAGAGTATTACAAGAATACAAATATTTGTACCATCGTAGCAGTGATCGCGACTAGTTTTTTTTTTGGATTTATTCTTGAATTACGCCTACATAGAGTAAGAAATTTACATTTTAGAAGTACACTTAAACTAGACTATATATACATTTTAACTTGTGGATTATTAAATCCTATGGGTGAGTCGAACTCTGAGGTAGAGTCAGAATGTACAGTTTAATTGTTCCAGGTGTCCCAGGCCAGCGACTAGTTAACTGCGACTTAATCGGAGAATATATTGCGATTTTATCGACGTCAACGAGGTTGAGGCTTTATTTGAAGTTATTGAAGAGTACAAATCAGATATACTAATTTTTCATTGAATTATTCTGATGAGTAAATGCTCTACATCACAGGTTGGTTTGAATTTGATCACTAAGCAAATATAGATGGAAATATAGTAAAATGATATTCATGTCATATTTTCAGGTGAAAGAGATAGTAAATGACCCAATACTCGATCAAGTGTCAATTGAACAAAGACGATGTCGCATGGAACATGAGAACAACTTGGAGGTCTACAAATTCTATAGCTTCTCTACGTGTGTCGTCAACTGCAGGGCATACGCGCAAAGAGATCTCTGCAATTGCACTCAGCATTTTATGCCACCCCTTCGTAAGTATTTATTTAGGTGCATTACGTGACGCAGACGCACTGAAGAAAATTTTTCTTACGACATAGTTTTAACTTAAAGCGTCATTTCTTGTCGACAATTTTTTTTTTTTTTTTGTTAAATCCGTGCGGATTTAACTTAAAGTCGGTTTTTTTATGGTCAAAGGAACGTTGTTTTGATATCGTTTTTTTATCTTAACTACGTATCTGTAACTAAAAAAGCAGTTAAATTCGCACGGATTTAACTCTAAAAAAAACCCAAATTTTGTTGACAACGCTGTGAGTCAAAATAATATCTCAAGATTTTTTTTTTCAGTGCGAATGTATAAAGACCTACGAGTCATATTTGAAGGATCGTTTTATAATAAAACCAATCAGATCATAACTTTGTCCTGAACCTAACATGATTGTGTTGAATACACAGGGTAAGCAGATACTGCAAGTAAAATGCTGCTTTACAAAAGTAAGTCTGTTTCATCAGAATTCCAATTGAAAGGTACAACCGAGGTATTTATTTTCTCATGTAACTCTTGATCTTAATCAAATGTTTCAGAAGGGGTGGCTACTTGCGACATTCACGGATTGGAATGTTTAACTAAAAATTCAGGTACGCGTAAAAATAAATTTAAATACGTATAATAAGGTAGCCTATAGATTCATGACATTTTTATACATGTTGTATACCTACCTAGTTCTGTGCTTTTCAGGAAATAAGATTTTTTTCCAAGAAAAAAGCTTTTATTAATTAATTATTCTCTCCCTCACCTATGCAGAGGTGAGTAATAGATCCTTTTTGGTCAGGATTGATGAAAGTCTCAAGAGGGAAATGAGGGCGACGGTGCCGAGGTGTCAGTGACTGATTATCCATATCTCCCCATTTGAAGCTGTGGTGAAGAATCGACTTTAAAAATGTTCGTTGCGAACGCTCTGTTCATAGATCATTTTTCATAGGTTTAAATTGCAAATTGATCGATATATCGCAAAGCACGCCACGCCACTGGAGGGCGATCATGAGTGATGTTGAGTCATGAGAGAATTCACTGGGGGGGAAAAAAAAAACACATTGGATCTAGAGTCCAGACTCTTGAAAATAATGACAAGAAAAAATACTCTTGCGGTTAAATCAAAAGGAAATCCGCTTAAATTAAGAGGCTTGGTTCTTGATTTAAGCTAAAATCTGATTGAATCAAGAGTATTTTTTCTTGTCGATGTTTTTAAGAGTCCGGACTCTAGATCCAATGTGTTTTTTTTCCAGTGTTTATAAAAAATAATATGAGTAGAAAGCATGTCGCATCGGAGAAATAAACGTGTGTTCGTATAGAGTCCTATAACTTATTGCTAGCCGTGACTCATTAAGTAACTTTGAACATCCTTAAAACAGCCTTCAAATCGTGGACTAGGCAACATACTGTCGATCTGAATAAGTCGTAGTCTCTGACTCAATTCCCATTCTTCCGATTTGACTAGCTGTTAGCAAGTTAAAAATTGACAAAATCCTTTCGATGTTCATATCCATGCCCTGTAAATTATTCGCTACTTTTTGATATTGTATAGTGATTCTGCTTGGATTGAAATCAGAAAACTACAGCAAGGAGGGTTTAGAGTGTCACTGTATGCCCAGTTGTTCTGAATCTGAAATCACAATGGTCTCTACAAGCATTACTCTGTGAGTAAAAATCTAGATTTGGACGTATTCCTCTAAAATTGAAATTTTACTTCGACATCTCATTAAAAGCGAACCACCACTTCTTGAACTTGAAATATTGAATAAATTGCACATCGACGGTGAAACCACCAGACCACGCCTCAGTTTGAAACGTTGCAAACGTCGTGAAAGAAAACTACTCAATATTCCTGCCAAATTTCAGGCGTCTACCTGCAAAACAGTGGGGTGGCGTGATAAGTGATTTATAGATTGATCTGCCATTTAAACCTACGGAAAAGTATTGATGAACAGAGTGTTCCCAACGAACACCTTAATAATCGATTCTTTATCATAGCTTTAAATGGTGAAATATTGATAATAATCGATCATCCATGCCTCGCCCTCTGCTGCAAAATAGACATACAAATTTGGGGAGCCGCGAAAAAATTTGATGGTGGTGCGGTGCCGCTAATTTTGTTTTACCTTAGCACGCCGCGCCAGGGAGTTGTCTCGTCATGAGATGGTTCACTTTTATACATTGCGTTTAAGTCTCCAATATGTCTTGTGTATTTCCCGATTCTTTAAGTTCTAAAATGTTAATTCCAGCAACTCAGATGTGCAAGACGAAAGTGCCTTTGGTTCAAAAGTTACCATTAAAATGGAGGCTTTGCCGTCCGAGAGATATAAACGCGACGTAGTTCGATCTCGCTTGGATTTGATTGGTAAGTATTGATCAACGTTACCGTCTAAATGACAGACATCCGTCGCAGGCTAATAGAAAAAACATTTATCTATAAAAATGCCCAGGCAAATGGCGAAAAATATAAGGAAAACGTTGAAATTCTAGGCAAATAATTAAATAGAATGGTGGTCATAGTTTTAGGCATGTTCGAAAACTCCTGGGCAAATAGGCAATCATTATTTTCAATGAAAAGCTTCTATTTGCCTGGGTATTTTGATAAATGCCTGATTTTCCTATTTGCCTGTGATATATCGACGGTGAAACTACCAAACCACGTATCTCGTTTGCAGTGTTTAAAAATCTACGCTCACATTTTATTTTTTTGAAGTAGACCAAATCAATATCATTCCTTGAAATTTTCACGGAATTTTCCCCGCACAAAGAGGAAAAATCACAGAAATTTTCAAGACTGAATGTTAAGTAGTTTTTCATTTAAAAAATAAAGTATGACAGGAAGTCTGCGACGTCGCAAACCGAGATACGTGGTTTGGTAGTTTCACCGTCGATATGTCGTATAGTCCATCCAATTTAACCTGACTTTTCCATTCTCTATAGGTTATTGATCAGCACATTACCGGGTCTCCGTCTTAATCATACTTCTTTGTGGTTAAAAGAGAGATAATTAAATGATATCCCATAACATCCTGAAATTAAGACCATACTGATAAGGCATATACTTTTAATAATTTAGGTTTCCGGGAAACGATTACGAAGTCGTCGTTGGATTGCATATTTATCTTTTTGAAGGCGATTTTTTTACGCTGCACAGTGAATCGAGTCAATGAGAGGTCGGATATGAAATTTTTGACTAAAACTGCAAATTTTGATGTTTGATTCGTCACATTTTAAATTGTAAGAGGTGTTGCTAGAAGAAAATTTCACGAGGAAACCAGTGGAACCACTTTTAAAATCTCAAAATTTTGCATAAATGGAGTCATAAACTTTTATAGTTTCCAAATTTTTTCCGACCTTTCCCATTGATTGGATCCACTATGCGCCGTGCCAGCCGAAATGGCATTCTCTAAATTATATTCATTCTTGTAATTTCCACTCTCAGATGGAGTAACGTCACAGTTTTCTGTTCAAATTTAGGACTGGGAAATATGTCCATATTTCAATTGTGTTTTTCGGGGAGAACAGTAGATTAATTTAATTTCAAATTATTACATGCAAACATTTTGCCATCTGATTGGAATTATTTCTCATTGCATTTCAGTTTCAGTCGGAGGAACAGCGGGGTTATTCTCGGGAGCAAGTGTTGTGACTTTAGTTGAGCTGTTTTGTTTTTTTTGTCTTCGTCGTACCAAGAGAGATTCACTCCGATCAGGTGGGGTCAAGGCTGTCACTGAATCAAAACAGAGATGAGCATGACAATTTAGTCTTTAGATAATCTAGGTAATCCTTTGCATAATCTCTCAATAGACCCGCAATTTGCACGTCAAGTACCTTTTTCAACCTTACTTGCTAGGTTGTTTTTACGTGTTAATTATTCAGGGGAGAGGAAGTATGGGTGATGAATCAATTGGACGTATTTCTATCGAACGGAGCTATGTGCATTAAGACATGAGCCTTAAGACCCATAAGAATAAATGCATAACAGGGCTCACGTCATAATGCACATAGTCCCGTTTGACAGAAATGCGTCCAATTGAGAGTAGAGATCTGGCTACGTTTATTAGTCTTATGAAAAACTTCAAAAAATCACCCCCTCTCTTCTATTTCTGGTATAAGTAGACACGGTGCGGAGACCCAATATCTCATGTGTACAAGTTAAGGCTATGTATAGAAAATAAAATTTTCGTATTCAGTTTCAATTTACTTTTGGCTTTTCTCGCCGTAGTATAGAAATCTCATTTGAAGAAACATTACAATTAAAATGGAGAGAATCAGAATGAAGTTTAATTGAATTGCAACGGTACAAAGTTTCATTTGACAAAATAATGATTTACTCAAGCATGATTGCATATTATCGCCTGCAATTTTTTGCGATTTGAAGAAAATTCCTTGAAACTTTTGATGTAAAACTTTCACATTTAACCTGATAAGATTGGCACCCAGATGGATGCCATAAATAGAGCATTCCTATTTAAAGCCTTCTGGAGGAGAGGACCGCAGGTTCAGAACTGCTACTTCATTTGCATCGGCTGTGATTGAAGGCGTTTTCTCCTCCCTTCAATGGTGGTGATGCGAGACTTGTATCAAACGAGTTCCGTCAATGGTACTTTTTCCAAAAAATTGGACTCTGTTCGCCGGGAAGAAGTGCATGTCGGTCACAAGTGTCGCAAAAAGAAAAAAAGAAAAAACCCAAAGCGGAATAATTTTCACTTACATGGTATGATTTCCTGCTCAACCAAAGTTAGATATTAAATATTTGACTTGTTGCATGATGTATGTCAGACCCCTGAATGGCCAGGCTCAACAATTTTAGGATTTAAGTTGGCATAGCTGAACATCAGTTAATGGCCTAGTTAATGGTTAAGCAGTTAATGGCCACCCGTTTGTAGAGGACAACGCTTTTCTTTAAACTATTCTTTGGAAGACTGAAATTTTAATTTAATTTATTTTAATCTTGGAGGACTGAAAAATTTGTTCCTTATTTTCTAGAAGTTGCCAAATGTTTTCTTTTTTCACCATTTATCAGAATACTTAGTGAGAACTAAGTTCTTGTTAATTTCAATCGTTGGACTTTGCTTTAAATTGCCTCGAAACCTGATTTTAACCGTAATAAAAACAGTATCTGTAAAAACGGCGGATGCTGTTTTTTTTCAACCCGATGTAGCTCACTGAGTTTTGTTTTGAATTAACAAATCTAAAAAGGGGGTTTTTAGGGGAGGATTTGCTCTACATAGTATCCATAAGCCGAATCCTCTTGATTTCAAATGGAGTCAAAACGCAGAGCTTTGACAACTTTGAGAGCGTTCTTCTGAAAACTGAAAAACTCGACATCCGCCCTTTTTACAGATACACCGAAAAAAAAGAGATGCTGGTTTAACATTCTGGATGTAAAAAGTGTGCGACAACTCACAAGATGCTGAATTAACCGCTACGACGCGACAGTTACTTAAGCAGTATCAAGATGTAAAACTAACTACTGGGGCTGTTAATTCAGCGTTTTGTGAGTTGTCGCACACTTTTTTACATCCAGAATGTTAAATCAGCATCCTTTTTCTTTCGGTGTACGGTTTCATATGATTAATTGAGATTGAGGTTTGCTTTCGGCGCAAGTGAAGTGCCTATGCATGCAGCTCAGACCTCAACGCGAGTCATCGCACGGCGTCGGACCGAGGCTTTTATTCTAGTCGCGCCACAAACAATCTGATAAGTCTCGTGAGTCGCTGGGCGCATCTCTGCGACCTTCTCGAGCCTTTCACATCTGCCCTGAGTCGGGATCCATCCATGTCGCACAGGAGAACTCACTCCTTTCCCGTCAAGTTTAAAATGGAGGTGCTCATCAAAGTCCCTGGTAAAAATTGGCAATAGGAGCTGCGTTTCAAAATACTATCGGGATTCCTAAAGCCGGCTGTAGAAAGCAATTGAAAATCATATAGCTGGCTGTAGAATGCGAAGAAAATCCTACAGTCGGGCTATATGAAGCGATTAAAAATTATACAGCCGGGCTATAGTTCCTACAGCTGGGCTGTGCAATTTATCGCCTGGCTGTAGCTTTATCGCCATCGGCTATAAAAGGCTATAAGAACTTGTATAGCCGGCTATAGAAGCTTTAGGAAATCTGACAGCCGGCTATAGGTTATAGTACTTTCCTATTAGTGTACTTTCCCACAGATCCTATTACCAATTTTCACCAGCACTGGAAAAAATAAATACATTGGATCTAGAGTCCAGAATCTTAAAAACATCGACAAGGAAAAGTACTCTTGATTCAATCAGAATCTAGCTTAAATAAAAAACCAAGCCTCTTAATTTAAGCGGATTCCGTATTGATTCAAGCAAAAATCCGATTGAATCAAGAGTATTTTTTCTTGTCAAGATCCAATGTGTTTTTTTTTTTCCAGTGGGGGGCTTAAAGTTAATTTAAGTCAAATGTATGCTGATCAAATTACTTTCGACTGAATTCTTCTCTACATTGCTCATTTTAGCATGAACACGTCCATATAAGATGGATTCAAACCGAATTTTTCTCCAGGTGGAAATTCAAATTGGAAGAAAAATGAGTTACACCAAATTTGTTTTCAGGTAGGCGTTCAAATTGCGGGAAAAAATAGTCAGACCAAAGTCCGAGAGAAGTGGGAATTCTAATTCCGAAAAAATTATTACCTATCCATTAAGTGTACAATTAACAAGCAGTCTATTCGATGCATTCTGTTTTCAACGGTCAATTATGTTAAATTCCTTAGTAACGAAGCCTAGTTATCAAATCCACCAGTGGCGTGGCATGAATTGCGATGCATCGATTGTTCTGCCATTTAAACCTATGGTAAATAATCGATTATTAAGGTGTTCGCTGCGAACACCCAGTTTATCGATCCTTTTCCATAGGTTCAAATGGAAAAACAATCGATAAATCGCAAAGCAGGCCACGCCACTGAAATCCACGATACGAAGAGTGCAAGCCACTTTGCGCTGACCCTCCTCAGTCCTCACTGCTCAACTCCGACCGAGGATTCGAACTCTTGCATCATCGTATTATTATTGGAGAGCAACTCGATTTTAATGTAGCTATGCATCGTTATCATTTTGAAAGTTTCCCAAACTCTGATTCAGAGTGCGGTATGGCGCCGGTATTTTAATTCACAGGACAGAACCAAGTGCTGATTTGTCACAAATGGATGAATTCAGTCCGCAAAATTAATACTGACGCGAAAAAACGAAAAGAAAAAAAAATTATTTAATTTTCAATACAATCTCATCGACCGGAATATTCACGTAATTAATATTTTATGACTTATTTAATATTTTTTTAAAAAAAAAATATTTTTAATTTTTTTCTCGCGCTGCGACTGGTTTCTTTAAAAATTATAATATTTTTGGTAAAATTAAGCTGATTTTAGAATGAAATCGAAATCGTTGTATAAATGGGGCAAATCTGCTATAATTCTAGATTGATATTGCCTGAAATTACCATTGATTTTGGAAAACTTTAGAGAGTTGGGATGGTTGGGGTGAACCGCCGCCTATACTACTACTTTAACTTCAATGAATAAGCGCAAAATAATGATTTTCAAAATTTAAATTCCTATATTTTTATATTTTTTAAAACTAGATTATTAATTCTATTTGGTTATAATTGTCATTTTAATTCGTCTAACTTTAATACTTATCTTTTAAAGTTTTTCATTGTTTAAATTTATAATCCAAGGTTTCAAATGTTGCTTGATCGTGTAGATATATTTAAAAAGTTAAGATCGAGTAAAGATCGAGACAAGTATTAGTACAAGAACTTGTGTGAGAATACGTGCATAGCTGATGACCAATGTAGAGGGGAAAAAAGCTCTTCAGAGTGACCATGAAGAGGACAATGACTAGGCGTGATAGCAGGGAGCATGGTTGCCGTAATGCAAAAGATCCCCCGAATCGCATTACACATTACCAGAAAATAACATGAATACTGGGCACTAAACGTCAACCTAGGAGGCGGAGAGCCCCGCAAAACACGCTCCGTTTGACGAATGAAGTCGAAGATTCGAACGGAGGCCGAGCTTTTCTGGACCGTCGATTTTATTTGCAAACTCTGTTGCCTGATTAGTTTTATCTGTAGCATTTAGGATCAAAAGAGCGCAAAGGAGGGCTGAATTATAGCTTACGGGCGTGGGATGCTGTCAGGTAAAACGGTCTGCGCATTGCGGGGTGTATACTTTGTAAATTGAAGGCGGTTAACCTTATTTTGTTCTCATTCGATGAAATTGAATGGGAGTGGATATTTTTTTGACACCGCAAATGAGATACTTCAATCTCACCATCGATTTGTTTTTTTGTTTTTTTTTTCTTGATTAAAATGAAAGTATTCTGATGGGGTAAGAAATTGTTATTTTCTTCAGTGTTAACACATTTTGATGTTTTTCGAGAGATAGAGTTGTACGGTGATGAAAAATTTCAAAATCTAGAATTATGGTCTCCAGACGTTTCTTGACCTACTGAATGCATCCCCCAAAGTTTAAAAAAATTCGTGAAATTTCGTGCGGATAAATTTCATGGAATTTTTCAACTCTGGATGAGAGTACTCGATTTTATTCTGGGTTACCCTACCTTTGACTTATAATAAATAGATACGGTCTGTAAAGTAAAAAGACTTCATCAGTGCGTTCGCAGAGCTTTACAGCGACGCAGCATAGTGCGTGATTTTTGAGGGCGTCTTCGGCAACACAGCTCAGAAAAAAACAATGTCGTGCGTATTGCAGTCTCGTCCCGTATTTGCGTTCCCATAGCTGCGTTTTACCCCCACCTCTCACTCCACTCCAGCATGCAACGCTCTAATCGTACGCTCGTGAATAAAAGCTGTGAAGTACAAGGTCACTCTTTTTTTGCCCCCCTCCTTACCCCGGATCTTCCCTCACCCAAGGAGAGCAACTACTCACCCATCCTT